TATACCAGGTCGAATATAATTGTAAAAAATTCCGAGCTGGCTAAAAAAATTTTTAAAAAATCCAGGCCGGGCCTAAAAAAAATTTTTTTTTTAAATATCTAGGCCAAGGCGGGCCTAAAAGGACCGGGCCGGGCCGTAAAAAATTTTTGAAAAAAAAATTCGCGCCGGGCCAAAATTTTTTTAATCCGAGCCGGGACGTGTAAATGGTACCTCTGCAGGTCTCTGGAAAATATAAAACGATTATATAAATTCATTTAAGTTAAGAAACAACAAAAAATATAAATTGCAACGATAAAATAAAACGTTTATACAAACTAAAAATAAAATCTCGCCGAAAGATATTAAATAAAAATAAAATTTAAAATTTTTTTTTTTATTAATCTATTCACTTTATTAGTATCAATATATTGTTAAATTACATACAATAAAACCTAATTAAAAATATTATAATTTATAAATTTATAATTATATAATTAAAAATAAAATTCTATAATTGAGTCCCCAAAAAGGAACCATAATTGTGTCTAAAAATTTCTTTGAATTTTTTGTCGAATAAAAAGGAATTCTCTTGGTACATTTGTGAAAAGTCGTATTTTATTAGCAAGATTTTTTAAAAACAAAAATGTTGAAGGCGAAAAATGCCCGTTAGTAGAAGTCACTACTGGAGTGAATAAAAAGTTTTTAAAATTTTTGCATTTGTTTATCTTTTTAATTTCAGCCTGTGTTATTAAATTGAAATTTATGTTTGAAGGGAATGATGAAACACACGTGTAGTCCCATATGAGTGATTTGCCGAGGGCCTAAGGTATGGTTGTCATACCATCAGGTCTTAAACCATCTTCTTGAGATAAATTTGATGGTTCGAGATTGTTAGGAATGTGTGCAGCTGTTAAGCTTCTATTTATTATATGGTTTACAGCTGAGTGGCGTTGATGTCGCCCTTGACTAAAAATGCAATTTAAGCCATGTCTACCCTTTGAATCAACGGGTGATTTGCATTTGGGCATGAGGCTGTACTATATCGCAACCTAGACGTAGACCAATGGTTACTCTCAGTTGTTCATCTGATAAGAGATTACCAAGGTTGCGACTAGGGAGTGATTCTAACCATTCATGACCACCAAGTCTGTCAGATAATTGGAGGAGTTGAATGCAATCTAAAGGTGGATTGACTGATATATCTGTCTGGTATTTAGAGATTAAAGGTGTGAAAAAATTTTTGTGTGTGATGATTGATGGTAATACGGTGTTAATGGGTGTGTTTGCCTTCCATTTGTCAATAGCGTCGTCTAATAAACGATCGGTAGGGCATATGAAGCCAGAAATCATAGAATTGTTAGATAATCTAGATAATACGAATGATAATAAGGATAAAAGATTGAGCGGAAAAAAATCTAAACCGCCTAGTTTAGAAGGTAGCTTAGCAAGTGACCAATTGAATGAGTTTAAATTTATGTTTAAAATTTTTTCCAGAAATATTTTAAATTTATCCTGAATTTTAGATATGAATTCATTGTTTTTGAAAAAAGATGATGATCGGAAAATATGCATAAATTTAGGTATGTACAGGCATTTGCGAATTATAAATAAAGATTGATGAGCTGGTAGGAGACTAAAATATGCTCCATACTGTAAAAGCTTTTAAAAATCTTGTTGAGAAAATCTTTCGACTTGGTCGCATTAGCTAATGGGGACCCAAATAAGGTTAAGCTGTCAGGAGCAATGATTTTGTAGCCTTCCAACTTTTGTGGCTTATTGTTTAAGAAACATAATTCTGTTTTATTTATGTTGAGTACCAGGCCGATAGCTTGGGAATTGATTTCCAGGTGTTTTAAGGCGCTTAGTACAGCTGAAGGGCCACATATGGTCCCATCGTCTAAATACCATAGATTAAGATCTAGGTTAAAATTTTGTTTAATTTGGTAGATGAGATGATGGATTCCAAAACAAAAAAGAAGAGGTCCTTGGATGCCCTCTTGGGATAAAATCTGATAAGATCCATATGTCAAAGGCGTCTGAAAACCATATGAGGATATAAGAATTATTATTATTATTCAAATAATTAGAATTTGATTGTTCAAATTTTTAGATAATAATATCCTGCATATTTTTAATATAGAACCTTTTATATTTTTACATAAAGTCTCGTTTATAATAACTGCAAAATATCGTGATATTGTTCAAGCGATGCATAATTTACAAAATACAATGTTAAATCATATAATTTTGATATAGTTTAGCGATGAATTACACATCGCATAAGAGATATACCAGTATTTCGCACTTGTTGCAAAGAGGCCTAACTTTTTAGATTAGGCATCGTTATTGTATAAGTGCTTTCCACCAGGGACCTGGAGTGAACCGGAATAAACTGTGAAACCTTTATAATTATTTGAACCATAAACTAACAACTGATATAATTTTTTGAAGGTAAATAGAACCTTGACAAATGAGGTTAAACCGGTTTCAACCAAAATAAAATAATTAATTTTACGTTTTTTTCGTTTAATTTCTTTCCTAGTTGTGTATTACATATATTTTATTATATCCTGTCGTTTTTAGGTATCTAATCAAAATATTTTTTTAATATCTTATTAATTTTTTAACTATGATTTAAATTAATAACAATCTTATAACTCCTTTTTTAGTAATAGAGCCATATCCCTATTCTATTTTAGTATATAAAATAAAATAATCAATTTGTAGTTTTTTGATTTAGTGCATTTATTTAATTAATTTAATTATAATAACACCACCTACCCATGTGAATAGTTTAATAGAAGGTTTATATTCCCATACAGATTTCAAAATAACCAAATTTATAAGGTCTTCATTTTATATATTATTTATAAAATTATGGCATTTGAGTATATTTTAAAGCATTAATAATGTATTATCATTTATGAAAAAAATATTTTGTGTTGCCATGAAATGCAAGTATTTGCAAAGTTGTTTAAATCCGTTTTTTATATTATTTCTAGATGTGAGGGATTGTAAATCTTTAAACTAACAATATTCAGTCGAATTGATGGTTAATTTAGTTTACAATTTCATAATTTTACAATATTGGTTGCTCTGAACTCATATTTTTTATTGACCTCTTATTGATAATATATAAAAAATTTATCTTACTATTTAGAATAAATCTAAATGGTTCTTCCCAGAGTTAACTCAGTCCGTTCCTTTTTTTTACTTATAATATTCTGTATGAATCAGCCAGTAATATTGATAAGTGCCAAATCATACTCAAAGGTGACCGTGAAGCTAAACATGAATCCCTAACTATAGAAAAATTAAATTTTTCCAAATCTATTTAAATTCTACGATCAGGGTTAAAATGGATAAAAATATATTAATAAATTCTTGCACAGAGTTATAATTCTCTTATTTTTTTGAAATATTATTCTTAGACACTTATAATAAAGATAAAATAATTTTATCTATTTTATAAATAAATAATAAAAACTTAATTGTTGGCAAAAATTTTAATAAATAATATTCATAATTTCAATAAAAATTATTTTTAAATTTTTTTATAACCGAAATGAACCTTTATAACCTATATGCAATTAGTTGAACAGAACCTTTATAAAAAATTTTAAGAACCACCCAACCATAAAAATTATGAATTTTTATATATTGAAGTAACCCAACTGAAAAGTTATAAATTATTTTGGGTACCAGCTTATCACTAATTAAAGTGAATTTCACGAAATATTCTATAGCCCGAACATCGCCCTCATCACTTTACCTTCCTCTTATTAAATTATCAAGTTTATTTTTGTTTTTAAGGTATCCTTAGAAGCAGCCCACTCCTTGTGTCTAAAACCGGCACTGGTTTACCTATTTTAGGCTGATAATTAGCCGAGCAAATTTGGTTTATTAAGTTTAGTAAGTTTTTAGATTAGGCATGGTACATAATTTTGCCAAAGCCGATTTAATTTATTATAAACTTCTAATCCATATCGAAGTCGGATTAGCAAATTAAGCAAAATTAAAAAATTTATCAATGGCACCGAAGGCTTAGGAGAGAACAAAAAATAAAATTTTAAAATTCGGTAAAATGCAAGTGCATTTTTTGTCTAAAAGAATTCATAAAATTAATTAGGTTTTTAATACGCTCGTCAAAAAATAATATTTAATTATATAAAGTGATATTTAGTAAAACAATAATAAACTTTCAAGTTATGAATAATTGATATCCTAAAAATAAAATATTGTTATAGACTAGATAAATGTAACGTTAAATGTCAATTCTTACCTCATTGAATTTTGTAAAAATATTGAAATAATTTCTGTACAACATTTATATTTGTCTATGATTCAATTGCGATGGATATTTAACCTCATTAATCTAAACTATCATTATGTATTGCTGATCGAAGTTGGTTTTTGACTATTTTTAGTGCTTATTCTTCTAGTCTCATGTCATAAAAGACCTCGATTTATTATATTACCACAGCATCGTAGTTCGAGTAATGCAAGTAAACTTTATTATTGAATCTAAAAATAATTTAGAAAAATCTATAAATGAATATATAAATAATTTTTAAATTTAATTTTCAAGAAAATAGCAAAACTTTTAAATAACATAAAAATAATAAATATTATATTCTAAAGGATAAAATGCATTACTAGATCTATATCAGATATCAGGCGAAAAAAACATAAAATACTTTTCTAAAAAACTTAATATATGAATGGAAACAAAATTTAAAAAATGTTTAAATTATATATTAAGATATAGTGATAAATTTCAAAAAATGAAATTATATTGCTCAACTTTAAAGAAATTCACAAAACAAGGATTAGCTAGTTATTTTTTATATTAGCTATGTATATATATTATATTGAATTTCATTAGAAATTGATAATTATAAAAATTCCGACTATTTGCATATATTTTTTTAGAATAAATTCTTCAAAATATAAAGATTTATTATTTACAGGACTACCTTCTATATTGTAACATAATTTTAATATATTTATTATATATTTAGATGCATGGAATGTCTCTCTTTCAAAAAGTGAGGGAGGATAGATATTTAAATGATCATCTGAAAAATCTAGGTTATAAATTATTTATAATTAAATAAAAATATAATGTTTATATAAAAATTGAAAAGATAGATTAGATTCATTTAAATCCCACAATCAAGCAAAAATTAACCTATTAACAATCAATTTTGCACATCTGCAACAATGCTTTGTTAAAGGCTCGATTTAGCCAATTATAAATTAAGATTTTAAAGGTTATATCAAAGCCTCCAGATTTCGTCAATAGATGTCCAAACATTTCATCTATCAGCAAAATCTTCAGGCTTCATAATGTATTTTGGTTAAAATAATTGGTTAGCCATTTTTAAAAGTATTTTTCATATATTATTTTTTCTAGCTAAAATAATTTCAAATATAATTTTAGTAGCCCTACTCTAAATACCATTGAATTTCGCTAAATCTAGGCGTTTAAAAAACTACCTGTTTGTATATATCATTTACTATTATAAAGCATTTAATATTAAATTTATCTATACTATTAGAAAAAAAAAATTGATCATAATAACAAAAAGACAATATTGAGCATAAATATTATAACAATGTAAAATACAAAATAAATAAAAGCGAAACCAGCTCAAATTTTCAAAATCCTCTTACTCTAATCATCGGGAGAGATCAAATTGATAAAACAAACATAATTAGTCTTAAGAATAGTTAATGCGATCCTCTGCCTTAAGTAAAAGCCTTTCCGAGGTTCTCCAGAATTTTTCCTGATTAAGCAGCCAACGTCTTTAAAAAACATTTTAGCCAAATCACCATATGTTGTTAAAGTGGAGCAGATGATTGGTACGAATATGTAATTAGAAGAATCAGCGCTGTATTTAGTGATCTTAAAATTTTGAGCTCTGTCACAAGATAAATCCCATATTAGAAACTTTCCTTGTGAACATGGAATTCGTGTAACTCCATCAGGACGCCTACCATCGGAAAAGAGACCAGAAGGCTCCAATGAGGTAGGAAATATGCTTATAAATAAAAAAAATTTAAAAAAAAGTAAGAAAAAAAACCTTAAAAATAAATAAATATATAAAAATCATTGGAAAGAAGGATTCCAATGAAGCTGATCTGCTTCCACATGGCAATTAAGAGTTTTTGTCTGAGAGAATAATCTACATGAAGTTCATCTGTAAATTTAAGAATGTAAGAACCGATTTTTGAAGAAAGATAAAGTGTGGTTAAAATCGACCTTTTTTAGAGGGATTTAGATAATGCCATATGGACATTTTCCATCAGATCTGAAGAGACCGAAAGGTTCTAAGATCTATGTAATCTTCGCAGATTTAACATATAATAAAATATTAATATTTTATATATTTTTAATAATTTTAATATTGATAATTTTTTCTTTCTAAAAATTCAGTATCTCTTTCATTCCTTCTTATAAAGGTTTGAAGAATAAAAGAATAATTAGCAAAATATTAAGAATTTTTATCATATATTATAACAATTTTTAATAGTATAAGAATATTATTAAGGATAAACTATACCAATACAATACTCAATGAAACCTTATTCATACTTTTGAAGGTGCTCTATTGATAATACAATGCAGAGCTCATACTCACACCTCCCAGTAGTTATAAGAGAACTTTGATGAATATAATCCTACCGATTCACCTAATTTTTATTAGATGCTGCTAAAGAGATTGAGCTTGATATTATATTCATAGTGCTGTAAACGTTACTTCAAAAAAGAAACGCATTACCGTTATTAGTTATGTCTAAAAAAGGAGGGTGTTACCATTCTCGTTATCTTATGAAAAAAGGAACGCACGTTAGTGGCTATTTGGAAAAGTAAAGGATTACTCTAAGATATTTTTTTAATCATTTTTATTTATTTTTAACAACAATGATTTTTAAATTTTTGATCAGATAAACAAGAGCGCTTAGTGCTCAGCTACCGCTGCAAATAATAAAGAGGGTAGGTCGTATTATATTGGATAAATAAAATTTTTAATTGGAGAAATTTATTAAAAATTAAATAATAAGCATTATTTTAAAAGTTTAGCTCATCAAAGAATCTTCATTAGATTCTCATCCAATTTTTTAAAATCTTTATTAACTAATATTCTGTACATGTCTTGTTTTTTAAAGGAATCAAGTCTGCCTTTTCTTTGTCAAAATCTTTTCTCAGACAGGAAATAAATTCAAGCTTCCTTCCTTCGCTGACATCTAGTTTTATGAGGGCCAATCTGATTTAAATAGGGGGTGTATGGGTGATAATATACATTCAATTGAAATAAAATATAAGATATGAATTGTGAAGTATAATTCAACTGTATACCTTTTATATTTGTCTTGCAGAATTGCATTAATAAGTGGCATACAAAATCAAATTATTTAGAGCCATTTTTTTAAATATTATAAAAGTTATCTTGGTAGTGAGAAATGCATTTTTTTCTCCTCTCTCTAAATCGAAAGAACCGTAGGAACAGGTTCCATAACCTATAAAATCATATAGGGCCATACAATTTTCATCAATGAACGCCTTATCAATATCTAATAATCTCTGTAATTTGGATCTATCACAAGATTCCTCAAATTTATGGCCATTCTCTTTGAAAAGACTATATTAATTTCACAGAGTTATAAAGAAGGTTCCTTCTTGTTATACCTAGTTTAGTCATATATATATATCATTTTTTCTTAAAAATGGCAGCAAGTTTAGAGGAGGCCAATATTTATTACATAAATCAGGTTAAAATATTTGAGTTGTGACTACACTTAAAGAGTGTAAAATTTGTTCATTGGTGTAAATGTTTCATATTCTGGAATTTCCCAAGATTCTTGGGGTATTAATGGGTATTTTAAACATTAACTTTGTAGAAATATCTTAAATTGGCTAAAAGTTAAAAAACTTTAGCAATTTTAAGCCTAAAATGAGTCATGCTTGACTACAATACTAAATAGAATAAAAAACAAATAGAAGTTTTAAATTGCAATATATTAATTTTTAATGGATTTGCTTTTATTTAATTCTTGTAATTATAATGATCGAAATATATATGTATATATGAAATTAATTCATCGGAAAATGAGGAATTCAACGCATGCTCTTCTTTTATAATGATATCATTATCTGTTTATGACATATTTTTATTTCTACATTTTCAATATTTGAAATTGGATCACTATATGTAGTATTAATAATTTTATGTTGTAAATATAAATTGAATTTTAGAAATCAACTTTTTATAACGCGTTTGTTGTTGTCTATTATGACTTATGGAATAAGTTCTTTCAAAATGACCAAATTCTCTCTTAAGCAGCATTCATCTGAGGAATCAATAAAAATCTTATAACCATCAAACCTAAAGTTGATGGAGGCTGAATATTTTTGCATTTCTCATTATTCCCAAAATATCCCCAAAACCACCTTTCAATTCTGGATTGGCGAAATCAACGCTTTAGCGAAATGAATATTCTACATATGTAAATTTGCGATCTTGTTCAATTTAAAATATTTAGTTAATCTTTATAAAGATATCAAATAAAATCAGCAAATGGCCTTCGGCCGTTTCCTAGTTCTTCTTATTTTAAAACATTAGACTGTTTTAGCGGTCTTCATATCTTCCTTTAGACAGTCAAAAAGGAGAGGCTATTAATAATTATGTATGATCACGTAACTTTGTTTTATTTATACCTAAAAAATATATAAATAATATTTAATCAATATTCATACCCACTGTCTGTGGAAATGGAGATGAGTATAGAATAGTCTTCGAGTTGGCTCATCAATTTAAGGTATGCAACGGAGTTGCCAACTAGAAGCTTAGTCCATCTGTAGTGCCGATGAGGAAGGATCGACTAGGAGAGAGATTTTTAAAGATCAATTGAAGGGGTCAGGATGTTTTATGAGTGTGTGTATAATGGGCTCGCAAGATAGGCGAGAGTATATGCACGCATTAACGGAAAGTAGGGAGGGCGACCTTATGCCAATGCCACTGGATTTGGTTGCTAAGGTAGCCTGTAACCAAGATAGGTCTCCAAATTAAGATTAAGTACATCTTCTCTGAGGCGTTTAATCTAGACCTCATGAGAAGCAAATTAAAAGATTTGCGACGATCTAAGTGTATATAAAATTCTCGGAATTAGAAGGTAATTCTTTAATAGGAAGAAAGCTTGGTGGGCTGGGAGGCGGGATAGTGTATCGCGCATGAGGGATATCTCTCGTGAAACATCGGTAAGGAACTTGATAAAGGACCGACTTTACCTACTGGAGATCAAAGTCAAGATCATAAGGGGACAATATTCGCTCTTGTCTGGATATCATTGCCAAAATATAAAGTATTTAATATATTTGGAAAATTTAAAATATATTTTAAAGTATGCAATGCTTCTATAAATCTTTAAATTCTGAAATTAATATACCTTCTACATATATCCTTCGAATTTAGTGTTAAATGTTTAATTTTTCAATATCAAAATTTTTTATATCCTCAGATCAGAGGGAGTTATAAGATAAAGTATTTGTGAATTAAATTGAGCCATTTGATAAATCACAAACATTCATTGATTTAAGTCATAACTAAATCCAAAATAGGAATAAAAACGGTTATTTTAAAGTATTAAGTAGAGTCTACGTTAATATTGGAACTATTTGTTTGTCGGTGAAAGTGGAGGTTTGTGAATTTGAAAATCATAATATTAACTTTTACCTCAACAATCACATAAATCTCGGAAAATTCCTGGTCAATATTATCTCTTGGTTTTCTAAGTTAATAAAATAATATTCGTGATTCTCATAACTTAAGCCAAATCCTATTTTTTGAAAAATATTGCAAAAATTGTTATGAAATAAATAATTTAATACATTCCAAATAAATATTTATAAACTTAACTTTTTGCTACTATTTAGAATAGAATATAATCTATTTGAAATACTTTGCAATTTTCATAATTCATGAAACCCTTTTATAGTTTTTTAAAAATTCTTTTAGGCAAGTGTTCTTAAAGAGCGCCATGTTTAATTTAAAATAATTTTGTTTCAAATCTAGATCAAAGACATACCGTTTCGGTCTCCTATCGCTCTTAATTAATTCGTTCTCTAAATGCGTTTATTTATTTATTATTTTATATAATGTTAATTTTAATTATAATTTTCCCAAAAAGATATTTTTTGTAAAACTCTTATATTTTATATTTTTTAGTGGAACTCATATTAAATGAACACGCCTACTATGTTCGCCATTTGCAAAAAGGTATCATAAGCAGTGATAAAAATTTTCGATATTTTATGCACGAAAGAGTTGAAGTAAAATTATTATATCTTTTTCATACATTTGTATATAATATCTTGCATACAAATAGGAAAAGCATAAAATATTATTTTTAATAATTTTTTTATAAAAATCAATATTCATATGGCTAAAATTTCTTAGGTGTTCACATTATTAAGTAAGTGTAAATGACTTTGAGCCAATTATAATCATTTATGAAAAATTAGTTATATTATTATCTACATTTAGTTTAAAAAAATGTTATAATTTTTATTAAAATCAATAAGAAATACAATTTAAAAATTAATAAAAAAAATTTTTAAATTCTTATAAAATATATATTATTGAAATCAGAAATGATATTTATTTAACGCTATTTTTAAATTAATAAACACTTAAATGAAGAGTCATATTATGCTGATTTCATTTATTCATATTGTAAGCTACAAATAGGGATAACTAAAAAATCAAGGTTTTTTTATAGGATATTCACATTTACCGCCAAAATATTGGATTTTAGAGCAATTATATATTATTATTTATTTTAATAGTTCCTTTTTCTTGACCTTCTTTTAAAATATATTTTGCCTGAACTAATAAATTACTTTAAATTGGCTGGTTTATTTTGATTATATATAACTTACCCATTGAAAAAAAGGAAAGTTTTTATTAAAATAAGAAAAATCTCGGTCAGGGTTAATCAAAAAAGAAAAAAAAATAGGATTTGAAAATAATAGTGTTTGATCAAAAAAGAAAAAGTATCAATTAAAAAAGAAAAGTCCCACAAGAAAAGTCTCACAAAAAAGAAAAAAGATTTTATTAAAAAAGGGAAAATTCCTATTCAAAAAAGAAAGGTTGTTATTTTTTATATTTTTTTGTTTTTTTACTTTTAGGTTTTTCTTTTTTTCTACCCTTTTGCGTACTTTTAAATTCTAAGTTCATTTTCAACTATTTTTGTCATCTTAAAACTTAGTAGTTTTTTCCTTCTCATTTTTGGTTTTCTTTTTTTGAAAAAAAAAATTATTTACTTATTTTCCTTGTCATCTTTATTCAATATTCTATTTTACTGTTATGTTTAACCATTCTTTTTCCTTTTTTAACATTTATCTTATAATAACTGTTGATAAAGAATTCTTTAGTATTAGTCTACTTTTATAACTAATTTTTTTTTCAACTACATTATCAAACGATAAGTAAATTATTATTTAAATTTTTATAAAACGGTATGGACTAAAAATAAAAAATTACAAATACTTCGGCTCGACCAAATATATTTCTCGCAATTGTAATGAGCTAAATATAAAATTAAATATATAAATAATATATAAATGAATAATTCGATCGAATAATGCTTAAATTACATGACTAGAATTTAAAAAAAATAAACAGATAAAATTTTTAAATTTTCATCAGAGATCTACAGATGCGGCACCCCGAACGGGCCGATAAATAATGTGAATTTAAAAATTCAGATCGATAAAAATTTAAAAAGATCAAAAATCTGGGTTTAGCTTGGAATAATAAAAATAAAAATATCAAGGCCGGGATTTTTAATTTTTTCTAAAATATACATCAATTGGAAAATTGATCTTTAGAGCATTTTATTCATTTCCCTTTTATTTTTGTAAAATCATTTTAAAACAATTTGCATAATATAGCCTAAATTATTCAAAAATGCCAAATTTTAAAAATTCCAGGCTGAGCTATAAATTGATAAAAAATAAAATATGGGGGATTATTATTTACAATATTTAAAAAAATCCTAGCTAAAAAATTTGATTTCCGCAAGTATGATTAGTATTCACTCTTTTTATTGAGAGCGCGGAACTTGCATTGGTCTTGGGAAAAAATGGATAGGGGAAATTAATTTTTATTAACATTGTTTAATATGACTATTTACATTCGAGTCATAAAAATTGTAATATAAATTTTAAACCGAATTGTACTGATATAAATTAGTTAAAATAACTTAAATGAACTATTTAAACTAAAAACATAAATAAAACTGCACTATAACTAGGTTCGCTATCCTATGTAAATCAATGTTGTTCCTGATTCTTTAAAAAATAAAATTCATAAGTTCAAACTTAATGATAGGTATTACATATATACGTTCAATTTTTTAATACAGCTTAATTAATGATATAATATCAGGTGAAATTGTGTTTGGAATTAAATAAGACAGACATCATCAATGCATTCAAAAAAATCTTATTCATGATATTGAGAAAAAATGATAATGAAATCTGAAAGGGTTTAGATTACAAAATTATAGTAATGAAGAAAAATTAAAAATAGTATAAACATGAAAATTTAAATATAATATCATAATTAATTATAATTTTTATGATTTATTATTTAATTTTGAAATTGAAATATATTTTCAATTTGTAATTTATATTTTCATTTGTATTGTAAAGTAAATCACGTGTTAATAATTAAAAATGTCATCGCCTATGGATATTCAAATCGTTGAAAGTGATTCAGACAATGATATTAATGAAATGGAAGATACCAGCGAAGAAAATGTTCTTAATATCTATAATAAATTTTTTTATAATCAAAACTAACTATATTTTAATATTTATAAATGTTGATTTTTATATATTTATTATATAATAACATTATAAGCAAAAAATAAAACAAAATCGTTTTCAAATTTTTTTTATAAAAAGTAGCTAAGTGCGAAACATTTTCAGGCCTACTAAATACCTTATTAATATATAAATTTGGCTTAAAATTCAAATCTCAAAGTTTATTTATTGCTAAATTATTTGAGAAGAGAAATTACTTGCCCCGGGATAACATCATTCTCGGTGCCCCCTACTACTAATCTCAAAGCTACCATCATTTTCCAAATCAAGAATTTTTGCCAAATTCTTCAACCGAGAATTTCCGAAATATTATCTACCATAATTTCAATTTTAATATTACCCTGAACCTTATTTTCAATAATTTCTTTTATTTATTGTAACTATTTATCAGTTTTCTTTATTTCAATCTTATTATATTTAATTTTTTTCTTAAAAATATTTGAAAACATTTTTCTGATCCTATTTTTAATTTCAATTTTACCTCATAACTCTGTTAACATTTTCGTAAATCCAAAAAAGCGCCCTTTCTTAAACCTCACTTTTCTTACTCCAATTCTTAAAAATAAAAACTTTAAATTCTCACAAATCTTTTTCTTAAAATAATAATAATAAAACGATTTTTCAATTCTTTTATTTCCAATATATAAAATTTTTCTAAAATTATAAGACTGATAATTTTTATTCAGACAAATATATTATTATTTTTCTTTTATTAACTTATTTTTTTCTCCGACCAATCAACATAAACATTATTATTGATTGACAGATCCAATAAAATATTGTAAAATTAAACAAACTAGGACAAACACCACCTCTTTTATCAACATTGGTTAATTTACCCCTTCTATTACCACAATTTAAGACCCATTCAAGGTCATTTTATCTTTTATTATATAATTTGGCCACAATTTATAAAATTCCTCATAACCCCTAGCGCCGGTATCCAATAACATTAAAATTTCCGTATTTCTTACTATTGCTTTTACCCTGGGACATAATTCGTTATTATTTTCTAAAACTAAAATCAGTATTCTATTTTTTTATCCCAAATACACATTCATTTTTATATGTATAATTGTTTATATTTATGCTCTAATTCTTTATTATTTAATATATTATTTGTTTTGTGGATGGGTTCTCTGATGTAATAATCAAATATTATTTTCATACAGTCATCCACCAGCAATAAGGCCCAATATTATCACATTTGAAGCACGGTACCCCTTAGGTATTCCTTTCATATGTAATCTCCTTAGGTATTTCCCTTTCATTTTATGTGTCTGAAAACCCTTTGGTATTTAACGCTTCGTTTCTAAAACATTTATCTTGAGTATGCTCCAATTTTCTACATTTTCACAAAAAGATACTTGGATTAATCATCTACTAATTTATATGCCGGAACATAGCATTCCTCCAAACTGTGTTCTCTATTACCACGTCTTTGACACGCACTCTGTGTTGTTCTCATCTAAATTATCCTATTATTACAACCCTTGCTGATGTGCAATATTCACCACAGGTAACATGATCCAGTATGCCCCATTTTGATCCAACCCATTTTATTTTCCCCTATATACATATTCCTTCAACCATTTTCTCTTGATTTCTATTATTATTCAAGTTATACCTAAGGTTTTGGGTGTATTATACAACATTTCCCGACTATCTTTTTTTTCTAGTATATAATTTTCAATTTCCATTTATTTTTCGCCAGTATCTTTTACCTACTTCATTAATTTTAGTTAGTGTTGTTAATTTGCTTGATTGTAAAATTTAGACCCAATTATGTGCTCAGGCCTGCCGGGGTTCAGATAAACGAAAACTAAGAAAATATATTTCATTTACTAATCTTAAATTAAATCATAGCATTCTAATTATAAATGATAGCTTTGTTTATTATTTTATTATAATTAATCTCATTTTCTTACCATTTAAATATTTGCTTAAATTGGAGTGCTTTTGATTGGAATCAACTTGACCAAGCCATTTTTTCTCTTCCAGAAATTCACAATATTAGTTTATATACTATATAATTAACAACTCTCTTCAAAACTTTTGTGGGTTTTATAGGATTACAATACAACTTTAAAAATTTTTTTTAGTTATAAATAAATTAATTATTTCTTGAACAGGTCCGTGAAGTTGGCCCCATACTTTTTGATTTTCAATGGTTTAACAGTTGAACTAATTTGTACGCGATTTGAACCGTTTTCAGTTCAATTTGTACTCACCGTTTTTGAGATATTCAAAGAACAAAATGGGGGGCCAAATTCACGACAGCCCCCCAACTTCTGAATATAAAAATAAAAAGTGCAATGGTCGATATAGGATGATTTGTACCGTTTTCAGTTCGATTTGTACCATCACAGTTTACCAGCTATCGACCGTTAAAAATATGGGGCCAAAGATAAAAAACACTCAAAATTAATTTTTTTAAATTTTTTAACGTACAACGATAGAGAATTTTTTCTCTTCCTAATGATTCCTCAAATTAGCTTTATCTTTATTATTTATTTAGGAAATCATATTTTAAACCTTATATCATAGCCCCCCTCCCTTGATATTTAAAATTTGAAATATAAAATTTTAAAAAAATTAATTTTGAGTGTTTTTTATCTTTGGCGCCATATTTTTAACTGTCAATAGCTGGAAAACGGTGATGGTACAAATCGAGTTTAAAACGGTACAAATCAGGTACAAATCAATCTTGTTTTAAAAATTTGAATAACGTCAAATTTTGAATATCGGGAGGGGGGGGGGCTAACTTCACGCTATAATATAAGGTTTAAAATATGATTTCCGAAATAAAGAATGAAGATAAAGCTTAATTTGTGCCATCATTAGGAAGAGAAAAAAATTCTCTATCGTTGTACGTTAAAAAAATTTAAAAAAAAATAAATTTTGAGTGTTTTTTATCTTTGGTGCCATATTTTTAACGGTCAATAGCTGGTAAACGGTGATGGTACAAATCGAACTGAAAACTGTAAAATCATCCTCTATCGACCTATGCACTTTTTATTTTTAAATTCAAAAGTTGGGGGGCTGTCGTGAAGTTGGCCCCCCATTTTGTTCTTTAAATATCTCAAAAACGGTGATGGTACAATCGAACTGAAAACAGTACAAATCGGTACAAATCAGTCCAACTGATAAATTATTAAAAATCCAAAAGTGGGGGGCCAACTTCACGGACCTTTCTTGAACATATCATTTTTAAAAAATTTGCCATAACATAATTATCCTTAACAATCAACATGCATAGTTTTTATATTTTTGAATTATTAATTATTATTTTTAAGTGTTATGATGATTTAATAAACATGTTGATTAAATTAAAAATAAAACCCATTTAGATAAAATGTTTGTTAAATTAATTAAAATAACACATTTACTTTTAAAAACTTGAAGTTGAAAGAAAATGTTAAGAGAAACATTATTATTTTTTAAAAACTTCCTATAATTTAACTTTAACTAAAATTCAAGTTAATTCTTTTTAAATTTTAAGACATTATTTTAAATTTCTTCAAACAAAATATATTTTTAGCCGTTAAAACATCGGCTAGACAAAGTTTTAGCCGAAAACCATCACTCTTGCTTAGGAGTCTTTCGTGAGATAGTCAAATTTAGAAGAATTTAATAAAAATTAAAACGCCTTAATGTTAAAGGATTTTATTCGGCACTGAAGATAGAATCAAGCCTTTATAGCCATTATCCAATTACACAAACTATATAAAAAGTGTAAATTGATTTTATATATTTTGACTTCAGAATAGGCAAGGAAAAGGATGCTTTTTTACTATTCCCCACCCCCCCCCCCCCAAATAAAAACGAATATCTTAAAGTATTCTAAATATCCCAATCTAGCTCAATTTTGTTGAATTTAGGTTCTAATGCTATTAAATATACTTGTCCAAGATTTTCTAAAATTATTTAAAAAATTAATATTAAAAAATAGTGATGAAAATAAACAAATCCGACTAGAACGTTCGCACCTGATTTTGAACTAGGATGGGGCATAGTGATACTAATTTATTAAGCCTGGGCATGCTAAAACACGTTTTAAGAAATTTTCCATGGCCCATCAACCGGTCTGTTGTTTCGAATCCTTTTTTAATATCGGAAATTATTTTAAAACTCAAAAAAAGAAATTATTTATATTTTGATTTAAAATTTTTTAAAAAGTAATAATTTCTGATTTGAAAAAGAAAAATTTAAATTGTTACTAGATCGATAAAATACAAATGTATTTTTCATCTGGACCCACCCCGAGTCTGTGCTCGAGGTTCGTGCTCAGAGCTGGTTTAGTCAATTTTTAGACACAAACTCCGGGTCTGGCTTTTACACAACCAAACAATTAACCACACTAATTTTAGTTTTCTTTTTATTTTCTACTTCATTTATATTATTCTACAATTCATTTTCATTTTATCCTATTAGTTTAACCATTAAACAGATCCTTAAAAGCATAATTTTTCCAAATAAAAAATGTACCTCAAATTTTATTTTAATTACAGAAAATTAATTAAAATTTTTATTAGAAAAATTTTGAAAGTTTTGATTGATTTTGAAATTAATAAAATCGAATACAGCATTTATCAACTATCCAAAATATATTTTTACCTCCTTCGATTTATAATAAAGAACGTGTAATAACCTAAAAATTCTTTCACAACTTCAATTATTTTATAAAAATAAACAAAATAAAAATTTAAAAAACATAATAATATATTACAAATACATGCCAGAAACATATTAACGACATCAAATTGGATATTTGTATTTGAAAAAATATAAATTCATATATGTTAAATCTTTAAAGAATCGAATCGATTCGCTTTCGAATCGGCTTATGGATATGTTTAAATATTATTTTTGATAATATATTTATATAGCCTTATAGATATATTTTATCAATAATATTGTATTTATATACAATAATCTAGGATAATATGAAAATAATTTTACAAGAATATAAAAAGATTTATAAAAAAGATCTTAAACAAGACATTAAGGAATATACCAGTGAAAACATATCAAAAATTCTCGCATTCTTTATTAATAAAGGACAGTATAAAAACGAGAATGTTAAAGATTTTGTTATAGATTATGACAATTATTTTGATAATGATAAAAATGATACCATGGATAAGAAATCTTTAAATTTTGAAGAAGTTAAATCATAAATATACGATTCTATATTTATTTAATTTCAGTTGGATATCGAACATTTATTAATTGACGAAAAAAATCAATCTGTGCTTATTCATACTGTATGACATATAATAACTAAAAAATAATGATATATTATTAGGTTAGTCAATATGGGACAATATATCCAGCTAAAAATTTTAAACCTGAATTAGATGCACGAATAATAGAACATACCTTAGATAGTAAAAGTATGTTTTCCGCGAATTATCTTAATTTAATCATTTATAAAATATATTTTAATTTAAATGAATATTTAGATTTATTTATCATTATAAACCTCAATAATATTTTTTTAATAATTTTAATTACATTATTTTTAATAAAATCGTTATTATTGCATAACATATAATATATAGTCAAAAATAAAGGAAAAATCTTGGTGAACATAATTTGTAAAAGGTCAAACTTGCAAAGGATCAAAATAAGAAGAGAATATAGGAGAATCTACTTAAAAGTAATCTGAACTAATTAACCACGATATGATACTATCATAAGTATATGTAATATGTTATATTAGGCTATGGAATATATTGAGATTCAAAATCTTGCAATTTTAAATCATTTACTGAGGGCGATTTTTAAATTTAAGAACAATATCTTAGCCCCTGTTCAATACAATTTTTAGCATGAATTTTTGTTTTTTAATTTCTATAAAATATTTATATGAAAAATAATACAAATTAAAAGCAGTTCAAAGATTCATTAAGAAATTCTAAAATCTACAGTATAGATAGGAGAGACTTGGGATAAGTGGTCTTTGAGGTTACCCCTCTAATTTCTTAACTATCTTTATTTGTTTAAAAATTTTACCAAATATGTTTAGTAATACTAGGTACTGCCTCATACATTCGATTTTAATAACCTGTTGAACCAAAATCGCGTTATATATTTTCTGCCTAGCGAAGAATAAACGCCCTAAAATTTATAATATTTATTTAAGATAGAATTCTTACACTTTAAGTTATATTCACAAATATTTATCAATTAAATATTTCATCTATCATTATAAAAAAGTTCATGTAATTTTAATAAATAGATAGGGTATTCTAAATCTTGGGTTAAGTTGTGCATTAATAAAAATGTAAAATTTTATTTATTTAAGATATAAAATAAATAGTATTCAATTTAATATATATTATAATATATGTGAAATATTTGTGTAATTTTAGATATTTAATATTTACAAGCAACACATGTATTGTATTATTAATAAGCCAAGACCTTAACCAAAAATATCTTGGGTATTCAGGTTTCAGTTCAGATAAAAAAAAAGTATGTTTCAATAATGGCCTGTTAACCAGTCAAATTAATGACTTTCATTCATAATGATATAGTTAAATAAAATATTCAGGATATAGCTTTAATTGTAACTTTTTTTTATTGTTTGGACTACACACTCAAATTAAATTTATTGTAAATATGATTAAAGGTAATCCAATTGCCAAATATCCCAGGTCCACCTTACTCTAACATGATGGAATACATTTATCTATGTTTTTTGAATATATTAGTCCTGACACCATTTTGTTTTTTCAAATTCAATTTTTGAATATGTTAATATTATTAAGACAATGTTTAACTTACTCTTGTTAGAGTCTAAAAAATAGTATCATGATTACAGATATTTTAAAAAATAACAGATTTTGACTTTAGAAAACCTAATTATAACTTATGATTAGGCCCAAAATTTTTCCCAATAATTTATATTAATGCAACTTAGTAACAAGTATATTTATTTTTCATATCCAATAGTTCCATTTTAATTTGTATAAGGATTTAAATAGAGACATAAAAGCGGAAATATCTGGAAATGTTGAAGAATTGATTACCTCATTGATTCTATCTCCTGGAATGCAAGACTCTCATTATATTAGAAATTCTTTCAATGATGAAATTGGAATTAATTTTGATTTGCTAAATTGTATTATTTGTTCGCGCACATTTCAGGTTTTAAATTATAAAATATTGAATTATTTATTTAATAAGGAAATGGAAGATCTAAAGAATTGCTATCACAAATGTTTTTAAAATTTTATATATATGAAAATTTATTTATTAAAGTGGAAGATATCCCTCTAATAGATATGGTTAGTCGCAAATGTTCCAAAAGTTATAAAACCTTAATAACTAAGCTAATTCAAAATAACAGAAGAATGGAAGAGAACAATGATTTAAAAAATCATGAAAGTGTTGTTAATGATGTGCAATTATTAATAAAGGTTTATATTTTTTAAATATCAATATTTCTACAAAATTAGGAGTTAAGTCTTCACCCATTTGTTTAATTCCACCAGTACATTCATTTCTTAGTATTGTCGTGTGACTATTAGATCATTATTTGGTATTTTATATTTGCATTGACTGTCTCGCCCCTTCTAACATAATATGATGTTTTACGCAACGAACAATATATTTATAACATATTTAATCTTGGTCATCAATTACTGTGATAAATGCTATATGATTTGTTATATTTCACAAATTTTATATTACAGCTTATTTGGATTATATTATCTTGATTATCGTATATATGTTTGACATTTATAATGTGATTCTATATAATACAATAAATAAAGTGACTGTGTTTTAGACTACTTCAATGGCTACGAAGGACTTTTATTATGAATAGAAGAAAAACCAACCACTGTAAATGGTAAAAGTGATGAATCAAACATTCTAATTAATAAGAGTGGTGAAATTAATATTTTAAGTTAAACGAACATTGGTAATCAAGAAAAGAAAAATTGAAGCACATGGGAATTAGTAAGTTGGCAGAGATAAGGTCATTTATATATCCAATAATTTTGAAGGAACTAAATTATGATGAAATAGTCGAAATAGGTAAGTCAGTTTTTAGACCCAGTGAAACTTTATTTAGTTCTAAAATTAAGTTCATTCGAATAGAAAAGAAGGGAATGCGAAACAATTGCTTCGTTTTTAGGGCAGCTTAAAAATTGGCACAAGTTTATTCCACGTCATTACAATATGTAGTATAACAAGTAAAGATATTATAACAATGATAAAAAAATTGCTGCCATGACTATAGAATTTGTCAGTGATTTTTATGATAAGCCAGGAATAGTTAATGATTTTGAAATAACAGCAATGCAGCAAGGTCGAAATCATGCCCAGCAAGTAGAGTACCTTTTCCATTAGGAAAGCCAATCGAAATATAACTCAATAGATAAATGAAATCGGGAATATTGAAGAAGGTTGACCCAAAAAAATGCGCATGACGTGGGCTACTCCAGTGATAAAGGTGTGCCAAACAAATGGAGAAATCAGGATTTGTGCTGATTTTCACATTAAACCCATATATCTTATATGATTACCATATAATATTAACTGTGGATCATCTAATATTGGCCAAATTACAAGGGGGTGTGAAACTTACTATAATAGATTTAGAGGCTTATTTGCAGCTAACATTAAAAAAGAGCTCAAAGGAATACCTAACTATATCAACCCATATTGGGTATATTCGTTATCTATGTGTTCCTTTCGGCCTCTCTAGCGGACTATTTTCCAACTATACATGGATAATCTTACAGGACTGCAAAATGACAGGAGTGGAAAAGATGATGTATAACATTTGAACAATGTGACGAAAGTATTAATAAAATTAAGACGGGGTTGAAGGCAAAATGGGCTAGCGAAAAAATATTCTTTAAAAGAATCCGTTACTTTTCTGGGATTCGCAATAGATAAAAATAGCATGCACCCAGCGAAGGAAAAAATAGATGATATTCAAAGAATACCATCTCCTAAGAATATATACTAAATGATCTTTTTTAGGACTTGTGAATTATCACGAGAGATTTTTTTTACCACATACATGGTATAGCAGCTCCGTGCATAAATTAACCAATGTTCATGGGATCGGTCAGACGGATCAAGATGTATATAATAAAATAAAGCAGATTTTATCAACAGATAAATCTTTAATTACTTATTCGCCAGACTTGCCAATCATATTGGAATGTGACATCTCCAACACTGGTTTTGAAGCTGTGATACTTCACGTAGTCAAAAAGAATTTTAGCAGATCTATCACATTTATTTCGTTAACATTATTTAAGTCAGAGAAAAATTATGCGCCAATAGTAAAAGAGCCACGAATACTCTTGTTTGGCATGGAAAATTTCATACTTTTATTTTTGGAAGAAAATTTATATTGCCAAACGATCACAAACCTTTGGAAAAATTATTTGGTGATAAAGGGGAACTACCAAAAATATCCACTAGTCTATTAATGCACTGGGTATGGAAAATGTCCGCATATGATTTTGAAATTGAATATCGTCCAGGAAGAAAATAAATGGCTGATACATTATCTAGACTTTCAGTAGCAAGCATGGAGTCGAATAACGACCAATATGCATTAAATATTAGAGTTATAAATTTGCTGGATATATATTTGGTCAAGTTGAACTCCAGAAAGAAACAAGGAAAGAAAGATTGCTAAATAAAGTAATCAAAAAATTGGATTAGATTGGATTAGATTGGTACATCCAAATGTTAAAGATGAGATGGAACGATCTAATATGCGACAAATGGCAGATCATGATAAACACATTCAAGTTAGGGAATTCGAGATTTCACAACTGTATGGTTGCATAATAAAATTGATTCATGGTGGAGAGTAGAAATTATAAAATCCAGAACTGGTAGATATTCCTATTCGGTAGATAGTAAAAATAGAACGATACGAATACCTGCAAAAACGGAATGTAGCGAAAAAAATAAAGTCAGGGAGAGAAAAAAAAATAAAGAGTCGGAAATAATTACCAATTTACAAAATGTAGAAGGACCACCTATAGCAGAAAATGAAATTATCATCTTTAGCTTTCAACAGCTAATTATCATTAATAAAAAATGTGAAATTTATTAAAGAACAAAATATTTATATATAATTTGGGGCTTCGCCCCATACGTCTCTTTTATAGGTCTTCATGCAGATTTATATCTCCTACTATAATTAATTTTAATATAGAAATAAGATATAACATAATATGGAATCTAACGCAAATTTTAATATTTGATTTTTAACAAAAAGGATATAAAAATATTTTTACCATTCTTCTTTGATTTTGCAATTTTTTTAGAGTAAAAGGGGACTGATTTAAAATAAAAATTTTATTAATTGACAATGATATACTTAGTAGAGATCAGCAAATCAAGGCCTGGCGCATACCCAGGCCAGGTCTATTTTGTCAAATTAAATTCTGTTTGCGGTGGATCGGGCCCAATATTATCTAAAAAATTTCGAACCGGGCTGGGTCGGGTTAAAATTTTTAAATATGATTTTGTTAAATAAATTAATAATTTTAAAAATCTTTCAAGAAACAAGGAGTTTATATTTTTTATTAGTAGAATATTTTTTTTACAATAAAAAAAAGAATTTTTCTATATTTAAATTTCAGGCCAGACCGGAAGAACAAATAATTTTTATCTCGGGTGGGCGTTTCATTAAAAAATTGTTGTTCAGGATCGAGCCGGGCAGAATAAATTTCTTTAAAAAAAATCCAGGCCTGGTCAGGCTTGAAAAATTAGGCCCGATGCAGATCACTAGTGTATAGTACTAGATATTAATCAAAAGTCTAAATATAGGAGGCAGATGTAACGCCATATTCTGGTTTGCATGTCTACTAATTATATTATAACAAATCCATATTAATATCAATTAACTGATGTACAAACCAAAAAATGGCATTCCACAGGGATGTGTGCTAATTTTAAAAAATTATAATGTTAATCTATTTTTCAAAATTGGTATGGTTTAGCACCCAAAGCTGCTGGCTAACGATGCCTCTGCCTCCAAGTATAATATTATTTGTAGCTTAGAGTTTTCCATGCCTTTTGAATTTGCGTCGTCGAGTTTTCTGTGATTTTATATGTATTCGTAATTCTTCTACGTACTTTTTGCGTAGCATAGATTTTTTGTTTTTTTCACGTCATTTTAAGCAATTCCGATATAAATATTAAAATGTTTATATTTAAAAACTGAAAAAAAAATATTAAATTAAAAATGCTTCTAAATTATATAGCTTGGGTAATTTACATTAAGTAGGAGAAATGTGTCATAAATGGCCATGTGTGTAGACTGGCCACCACCCTTTAACTTTTTATCTTATGGACCAATTTCTCTCAAAATTGGTCAAAATGTGTATATTTATGATATGTACCTTGCCTAAGTTCATTTATTGAATAGAGCAATTCAATAAAAAAATATTTCTAATAAACTGTTTTTACTACCTCTTTCTGGAAAAATCACGTTATACATTTTTTTGTTTGGTGAAAATATTACTAATTTAGATTACTGATACTTTATATAAATATTATCCTTAGGCATTTAGCATTATTCACACAAAAAATTAGACTTTAAAAGCTTTATTTAATAGACATATAAAAGCGCTTAATAATAATAGAGAGGTTAGTATTGACTGTCCATGTATTGATTAGCCACAATTCGCACATTCACATATTCATATTAAAATGAAAAGCCCTTGTAAATCAACATTTGGTGTAATAAAATGATGAACAAGCTTAAGAATGTTTAGTAAAATAATAATTAAGATATTAATTTATAATATTACCATTATAGATGTGGTAATAAATTAGATTTTAATACTAATTAAATTAGTGTATAATTAATTTTTATATAACTAAAAAATGTAGTAACATTAACATAGGTCTCTTTTACAAGTATTTCTTTCATTTCATATTGTATTATTCCATACTGTATTATTTCATATTGTATTATTCCATACTGTATTATTTCATATTTATAATAAAATTTTTAAATAATATATTATGACCAGTTAACACATAGTATATGGCCAGTCAATACATAGTAATTGCCCGAAAAACAACTTTCACATAATCTCATTGATTCAAATTTTATTTTAAAGATTAATATTTAGGCTACACATTGATATAAAATTTGTTTGGTTAAACATAAATTTTAATACCTTTTTTCAAAAAAGCAAAAACATGGCCATTCATGGCACATTTCCCCTACTAGTTGCAATCTCTGACTTTTGTGAAAATTGAATTAATTTTGTATAATTTTTTTTATATACATTTCTATTGCGATAGATATTTGAAACGTTTATTGAAGCTAACCTTCAGCATTGTTGACCTAAATTCATTTGACTTTTCATATAAAACTTCTTTCTACTGTGAATTTATTAAAAGTGCCAGTTATTTTTTTAAAATATGTTCTAAAGTAACTATTAAATATTAATTTCATTCTTAATTCATGCCACTTCTTTTATCTCTCTTTCCACATTTCCTACCAAATATTTGCTTATTCCTTGGAATTGCTTATATTATATAGCAAATAATTTTGCTAATTTTACCATATTCATTCCATGATATCTTTAATTACGGGGTTTTAATTTAAATAATAAAAATTCTATTTCTTTTCATTTGCTAAGAATCGTATAATACGAATGATTGCCAATATCGGAAAAATCTTTAAAGTATAATAAATTATATATAAATTAGATATGAGTTTTTCCTGGGTTCGCTGACTCCTATAAATTTCTACCAAATAAAAATACCTAACTTATTTTAATTTAATAACGATCTTGGGTCTTACTAAAGAGCATGATATAAGTGCCTGCGATGGACTATTAACTAATAATTACCTATAAGAATAAACTCATATGGTATAGGAATTGTACTAGTTAAAAATCAGCATTTATTAAAAAAAAATACCATTTTAAATTTTCTAAATCTAAAATGTAATATATAAAATATTCACAAAGACTTAGATATTTTCGAAATTCAATATAAAAGGTAATAAATAAAAAATAAAAATCAGGGCTGTCATATTTCTCCGGTATTTTATTCGAGATTGTCACTATTTTTTTTGAAAAAATACAAAATTGTTAATAATATTATATAAGTATGATCTTAATAGCCTATAAAAATCAATAAATGTATCTTTTTCAGAAATTTTGATGAATTTGGCATTATTTTTAAACTATTTTTATTAATTTCGTAGTAAGCAAATTTTTTGCATTATTTTTATATTACTAGTAAAATAAATTTGTCTCTAATTAATTATATCCAAATTTTAAGATTTTAGATATAAATTATAATTACATTAAATGTCTAATTATTCAAAATTTATCTAAAAATTATTAACTTTTGTTATAATTTTATATTTATAATATTAGATAATAGTAAACCAACTTGTGGATTAGCCACTAATCTTTATGACATTTATATAGTATCATTATTAAATTTAAGTTACAACAGTTTAGTAAACTATCTCTCTAGTCTTTTAAGTTTACCTGCCATAAACCATTTTGAGACGATTTTTTAAAACGGCTAACTCAATATTTTAGCTAGAAAAATATTACCTAAGCCTCGATATTTCGATACTATATGTATAGACCTTAGTTCCTTCTATGAGCAAAATCTTCAGGCTTGGGTAATATTTTTCTGGATGAAATATTGAGTTAGCCGTTTTTAAATTGGCTCAAAACGAGCCGTTTAACAACACTAGCCATGAGAAACAAAAAAAAATCATTGCTTTTAGGATCCTTAATCAACTATATCACAAGCCAATTTCCATATGAATTATGGCGGGCTGAAAATTTTCCCATTGCAGACGTTTAGGTGGGACATCATTTTTTGGTAAAATAATATGTATTTCACATTTTATATAATTACAACCTTCATGTTGATTAGATGAGGGCCAGCTTGGACCAAATGGTTTTGGTTTAATTGAGGCATTCCAATCGTAGATTACTCAATAATGAATCAATATTTAGATAACTCGAATCTAAAAACGATAATCTTTTAAAAAAATTTGTCAAAAAATTAGAAAAATTTTAGTTTTCATTTTTTCAGAATTAAAAAAGGAATGATTCAATAATGAACATTAAATAAATTGGATTGCTCAAATCTTTTTTATACTCAAAAATAAATGTAAATTAAATTCAAACAACCTTGACGCATTTGGTTTTGTTTCTTTTTTATTATTGTGTGTAGATCATCTAATAAAATAAAAATTAAATATATAAATATATTATGCCTTTTTTTCATATAATATACTATATTTTGTTGTCCATTTTGTTTTTGCTTATAGATAAAGGAAGGAAATTATAAAAATAATGTTTATGCTTTAAGGAAAATAATGTACATTTAAAATAAGCCATAAAATATCGTATGAAAGCTATTTAAAAAAATATTATTGTATTTGTTTAAATGGTAAATAGAATGCTTATCCATTTTTTAAAATTGAGGCTAAAGGCATCTTGGCAGTTTAAATATCCACATTTACAAACTCCCTAGGTGCTAGAATTAAAAAAATTACATTTCAGCTAAACCTGAAAATTAAAACACTAATCTATCTATGAAATAAGGCAACAATTAATTTTTTTTAAATCTCAAATGTCCTACATATATAAACTTAAAAAATTATTAATAATAAAACATCTATATAAAAACAGATTTCCAAAACTAGCAACGATGAATTCTTAATCAATTTTTTTTGTCATAAAAGTATTCAGCAAATCTTAGCAGTCATTGAAGAATTTAAAAAGGTAATTTAAATAATAAAATATATAAGAATGAGAGAAAATAAGGAGATAATAGATAAAAAAAATAGTATATTGAATTTTTATTATGAATAATATAGGTAACAAATTATGACCTGTCAGAAATGATTGATCAGAATGTAACTGGGCAGTTTAAATATGCCTTATTAACATTAGGTAATCCAGATATATTTTAAAAATGTGCTATGTCTTTTACAGGTTGGTTTATCGTAGATCCAATAGAATATTTTTGTGATCAACTTTATAGAGCCATTCAAAATATTGGAAATTATTATCACCTAATTAATTGGATATTATTAAGCAGATCTGAAGTGACATTATATTTAAAAAATATATTTATAATTTAATTATGTTTGAAGATCGATCTTGAAAAAATAAAATTAAGGTATAAAGATTTATATGGCCCTTTAGTGGATCCTTTTAGCAGTGATGCAAACAATGAAGATCATTATATTATATCGCAAATCATACGAGGAAAGTAAAATTCGATCTTATTTTCTCATTATTTAAATAGTATAATTTTAAAATTTTAAGTTCATTCTTAAAAAAGCTTAGAAAAACTTCATGTTTGACTTAACATGACTCTCACTAGGTCTGACCGATTTGTAATTTTTTTACCGATCCGGTATTTTAGTTAAAAAAATTGCCTATTATTTTAATTTTAAGCTAATGGATTATTTAAAAAATTTAATTTAATATTTTTTTACTATCTTTTCTTATAAAATAAACATTCCAAAACGCTTTTCTATTATAAATCTAAAATATTGTATTTCTTAAATGGTCAAGATTTTTGTTTGTGTTAGAAGAATAATTTATAATTCATTTCAGATAAAATTTCTCAATTTGCAAACAATATGTTAACAAATAATTATGTTTATGTTACATAAATATTTTATTTATATTATATTATATAAAATTTAATTCAAAATATCTATTCTAAATCTCATCTTATAATAAAAAATGTGTTTAAAATAAACAAAAAAATTTATATTCTTTTTAATAAGAATGAATGTGCCATGGATTAAAATATAGTTTATTGCGTGGTTATTTTATTAAAAAAGATCAGATAAGTTTTTAAATTTTATCGGCATTTAATTTTTCTAGAAATGATGATAATATTGTTCCAATCCTATTCCGATATATCGGCATTGCGACTCTAAAATCTAATTATTTCAATTTTTTTATTTTATTGAATTTGGTTAATATCATTTCATGTTATCCTTTTTAATTGCTGAGAAATGGTATTCGATGAAATTTAGGTCATTTCCAAATAGAACGTTTTTTGAAAGTGGATTTTGAGGCATGTTTTGCTGTAATTTTTTTATTTCCAAACAAAAGATATTAATTTGTAAAACAAAATTTTATTTATATAATATATTATTTTAAAAAAACAATTCGGTTCCACATTCCAGAAGCCATTTAATCGTTAAAATCCCCTATAGGTACAATTTCAAAAAAAAATACCAAAGCAAAACAAACAAAAGTGCACATGGAAAAACAAATAATATTATAAAAGTGTCGATATACCATAATGAAATAATGTAAAATGTTCATTACTTAAATATTTTTTATTCATTCCCAAATTTTTACATCCCTTAAGGTAAGTTGAGAAGCTCCTGAAAATATTCTTTCCATCTATTCATTATTTCTTTTTCCTTTATTATCAATTTCCCATCTTTATTTTTGATTACTTTCGGAGCTCCGTTTATATCCCTAGAGTTCTTTTCTCGCTGTTTGGCTAATCTGTATATTTTATTTTGCCCTTCTTTGGTATGTAGATCTTCGTACATGTCATCGTATGCCATAGATTTGGCCCTAGCCACCGCCTTTGTAGCTAATCTCTTGGATTTTTTGTATCTTGACTTGTCATCTGCATTTTTGGATTTGTACCATATTTTATAAAGGGCTTTTTTCTCCTGTATAGTGGTTTGTACCTCTTGATTCCACCACCATAGTTCTTTGTTGCCTCCTCTTGTCAAGCCTAGCGTCGATTTTGCAGTGTCTATTAATCTGGATGAAAGGTCTGTCCAGATTTTTTCACTGACTTGTGAGCAATTTATTGTTTCAATGTTTGCATTGATTGCAAAGGCATCTGTCATTGTTTTTAATTTGCCCCATTTGATGCATGGTTCCAGTTTTATCTTATTTTGAGTGGATTTATTTGAGATTTGTAAATCCATGATTAGTAGCTTGTGTTGTGCGGCGATATCTTCTCCTGGGATGACTTTGCAGTCTATTACATCTTTTAATCTTCTGCGAGAGATTAGCATGTAATCTATCTGTGTTTTCCTAGTACCACTTTCATATGTTATTAAATGACTGTCTTTTTTCCTATAGTAGGTGTTGGTTAAGGCAAGGTCGAAGGCTTGCGCAAATTTCAGTACGTGCTCTCCTTCATCATTTCTTTCTTCGTATCCAAAACCACCATGATGCCTTTTGTAGCTATCTCTTGCTTTCCCCACATGCGCATTTAAGTCACCACCAATTATGACTAGGTCATCCTTAGGGATTTCCATTACAGCTTCATCAAGGATAGCTCTAAAGTCATCTTTCTCTTCTTCCTTGCAACCCGTTTGAGGAGCATATACTGATAGGATGTGTAGTATTGATTGACCAATGCAGAGTTTTATCTTCATTAGTCTATCAGAGATCTTGTTGACTTCTACTACTGATGGGTTAGGTCTTGGCTGAGGATGATGCCGACATCTTTCCTATTGCTAACAAGTCCATTATAGTACAATTTATACCCATCTCCAATCATCAAAGTTTTCTGTCCTTTCCATTTCGTCTCTTGTATACACCCTATATCAACTTTTCTCTTGTTCAACATTGATGCCAATTCTCTCGTCTTACCTTTAAGCGTCCCAATATTCAAACTTGCCAGTCTTGTCTTCTTTGCTTTGACCTTTACTTTATTTTTCACAGGATGGAGGTCTACACCCTGCGCGTCGCATGGAGGGAACGCCCTAGCTTTCATATTCATTTTTTCATTTGTGTCCTTCATTTGTTTATTGGACAGGTATCCTTAGCACCCGGCTGTCCAGGCCTGTCGGTGACCGGGGTGTCATCTCTAAGCTCCGAAATTCATCATACCATATGTCTTTACACATCAGTCATCGAAGAAAAACTTGAAAGTTTTTATGGTTCTTACCAGGATTGAACCCGCGTCCTTGTTCATACTCGTGTTTCCAAGCCTACATCTTACCCATTAGGCCACCCCGGCGATATCATTATAAATTCTCTTTAATCTATTTTAAATATCAAATTCTCATCACTCTTCTGGATGAAGGTTGCTCTTCCACCAAAGTTTGGTGGTTGGGTCTCCATTTCCCCATATCCTTAAGCTTTTCAGTTTTTTTAATCCCTTAAATTTTATTATACATTTAGAGACCTGATACCGCAACTTTAGACCTTTAGAGCAAAAATAACTCATATTAAAATATAACAAGTCAAAGATACTGTAATTTATTATATGCAAGTCAATGGTATTGGAATTTACCATCCATGCAGACACGCTAAAACTGTTCAAAGAAAATCTTCGTCGCTCTTCTGAGTAAATAGATTAACAACAATACAACCCATGCCAGATCAAATAATCCCAGCCTCAGCCATAAGCCACCAGCCACCTAGGTTATGAATATTTAAAACAATACCTAGTTCTAATTTAAGTTTCTACTCACCAAGGAAGAACTTAGAATTCCTATAGGTCAATCATAAAATATAATTATGTGCGCGCTGTAACACCCATATCGATAGCCTAGACCGACAATAACTATGCCACTTTTCTAAAGGCAGACTACATAGATGCTATACCAAGCATCAATAGTATGTTGAGATCCACAAACATTACATCCACGCTAAACCCTCTGTCTCAATCCTGAAAATCAAACAGACCTGATAAGGTGACTCTAGTCTCTTAGATCCAAGGTATACCCCTCTCTTACTCCTAGCTTAATGATTATACTTGTGTAGATCTTTTGATAGATTCAGATTCTTTTCTGTCAAATCCATTATAAAACAGAAAATAAAAAGACCAATAAACATCGCTTCTTAAATAGTCTACTTATAGTTCTAGTAGTTTCCGACTTCTGAGAATTATTAGACCTAAGGCCTTAAAATTATTTTAAATAATAGAGCAAATGTTATGTTTAATCACTTGTGATCAAAGAGGGACTTCTTTGCGACAAAGAATATCGATCCAAATTTATGAATCTAATTGTATATCCTCAAATTATTAAGCCCTACCGACTAAATACATATTTTTTTTATATATATTTTCTTTTTATATATTGTTTTCTATTGTAATTTTTTAATATTTAATTTGAAAATATAGATTTTAAAAATAAGTTAATTCATATATTTTTAAATTAAATACAATAAAAATAACCAAAAATAGTAAAAGCAGAACTAAATTCAAAACTAGTAATTATAGGCCCTAATTTTTTCGATTTTTTTCCGGGTTCTATATTTTTATTTCGGTTAGACTTTATTAAGTTTCAAATGTTATCAAATGGTTTAATAAATTTCTTCTACTTATTATATTTTTTAAACATATTATAATAAAAAGCAAAAGCTTTAATGTATACAAACCAATTCTCAGGATGAAGAATTACACAAAAAATAGGAAACTATCATTGATTACCAACGACGATACTAAAATGTCAAAATTTGCCGAAGATATTATTCTAGCTATCCAATGTAATAGTAAATAAATATTTCTTAATTTAAAAAAACTGCATAAAATAGAATATAGGTTTACAATGACTGGGGTATATCCTATAATCCAGCCCGTCCATTGTTTTAAATATTTTTATCCCCAACCCGCCCATGGTTTTGAAAAAATATAAACTCGCCCGTCATTGCCCACACCTTTAAACCCATCCCATTCTTTTTTTAGCAAATAATAAGAAAATTATTGAGATATACCTTCAAAAATATTATAAAAATAATATCCAATAAAAATTACGAATGTAATAAATTTATTTGGACAAATAAATTGTAAAATAAAATAATTGAGATATTTATTTTAATATTATTTATAATTATAAAGTAAGAATAACTCCATATTTTCTGTTCAGACATGTTCTTCTACTCTAAATACTAGGAATGCTAAATCTTCGTTCAGAAAAATGCTCTATTTTCTGGAATTGTAATATATATCTAGCTAAACTTGATAGCTTTTACAAATTAATTTCTTATTCATTCCATCAAAGTAGGATATCCGTTTGAAGTCTCCACTTTAGATGAGATTTTTAAATAAAATATAAAACCAATTAATAAATAGGTAATTCTAAATTTATTAAGTAAGAAAACTTTAAAAAATTAGATTTCTCTTATTTTATTTTAAATTAGTTTTTTATGTCCCTTTTGCTTAGGTTTAAATAGGAATGTAAATCCTGGAAACATATTTCGGGAAAATTTCGTGAGAAATTTGGGGAAAATAGGGCAACAGGAAAAAAACTGGAACTTTTTATATTTTCAGGTCAATATTAATTTTTTTTCATGTTTTATTGAAAATATATAGATTATAAACATTATAATTAAACAAATATGATTTAATTTCAACAAATTTGTTTTCTTTACATGTTTTATTTGAAATATATAGACTATATACAATTTATAAATTAATTTTGAGTAATTTGTTAGTTATCTTCGTTTAATGAAGAAAATAATTCCAGATAAGAAGTTGAAATTTTAGAATCCAGCAATTTGTCATTTGCGAAATTTTTTTCCCATAAATGGAGATTATCTCTTATAAAAACTAATTTCAGACCTTATCACCATATCTTTTCGGAAGCTGCACTTGTTGGTGGCACTGATAAAATTCGTATGGCTAGGGTCAATATGTATTGATTGCAACATAACTTAATAAAATATTAAATGACACAAATTTATGATTAGAAAAAAAGTTAGGTTATTTTACTAAAATATAAAAGTATTTAACCTTTCCACAAAGTCACTAAATCTTTAAAAAATGCGCCTTGCCATATTTAAAAAATCTCCCCTTACAAGATATTTGGATAGGTTTTCTATAATTCTCACAATATCTTAATCTAGATATCCAGAAAATCGATTAATGACAATCCTTTTACAACTTCATTATCTCTTAAATTATATCCATAAAACTCTAGTCAAATATACGCGCAGCATAATGTATGTCCCGGCGACATTTTCCGGCTTTTAATAAACTGCTCAACTTCTGAAATCTCGCTCTGCAACAATAGATTTGATATTGTTTTATAATCGTTAAATGTCTCCCTGATATGAATAAATGCTTGAGGGAAAACAATAAATTGGCTTTATCCCCTTCCACTATCTCTATTTATGTAAATATGACTTTTATAAAATTGTATAATTGCATTAAATCATTAAAAAACCCATCGTTATTGAGAAGAGTAAGTCTCTTATCTCATATTTCCTGTAGAATATCCTTATTTTATAACAAGCTATTTATCATCAAAACTATACCTGCCCAACGAGTTGGGCTGGGCAACTTTAGGGAAACAATTTTATTATTATTTCTTAGGAGTTGTTTTTCTTTTAAGGTTGATAAAAGAATATTGTTAGATTTTTTTATGATAATTTTAGCTAGAGATCTGCCGGGTCGGGCCGGGCCTAATATTTTAAGAAAATTTGGGCCGGGCCTTAAAATTTTTTTAAAATATATCTGAATTTATTAATTTTTGTTGAATTTTTTATGTAAAATAAAAATATGTGATTTTATTTTAGAAAATAAACGCCATATAACATATCGTTTATTTTGAGTAATTATAAGAATTAATTTCTATATTTAAATAAATTCGGGCCGGGCCGGCAAAATTTTTTAAAAAAAATTTTGGGTTCGGGCCGGGCAAAACTTTATAAAAAAAAATTTCGGGCCAGGCCGGGCTTGAAAAATTAGGCCCGATGCAGATCACTAATTTTAGCTTTTGTGACTAAAATTTGAATCGATAATATCTTATTCTATATCCTTTAATCCAAGAGCGACACCTCCATTGCATTCAATAGTTGGATATTTCATTTTTAAAAGGGGCGATGCTTTTTAAATAGTGCGTGAATTGTCAATTATTATAGTATTGATTTTTGATATTGCCATCTCTTCAATTACTTTGATAAATTCATTTGATATGTATTCCCCTGTATGCATGTTCCTGTGTCAATCGATTTTTAGAAAATGGGACAAAGGGTTGCCAGGATAAATATATTTGTCCACCTATAACTAATGAGAGTCAAATTTTTGCTTTTGTTTAATTTTTCATTGACTATATGTTCGATCCTTTTAAATTTACTGTCTAATAAGTTTTTACTTGGTAAATATCTGGAAGGCATTTTAAAAGCAGGTCTTAAGGATTGAAATGGTTTCTTCCTATATAACAATGGGTATTGAAAATGCTCAATTTGACATAAAGATGGCTGCAAATTCAATATTCAGTTTACTTTCTTCTTCAGTTGTTATATTATCAATGTATTTCATTAAATTATTCTGTTTGAAAAGTATTGATTTTTTTGAAAATTTATTTTTGTTTATATTATCTATTAGAATTAACATTGGAAGATGTAGATGCTATCATTGAAACCAGCAACATTATTATTTGGTGGGGTTATTATTTGAACTTCTACTGGATCTACATTATTTTTAATTATATTAATACTTAATGTTCTCAGATATCTATTGCATTTAAAAATATCTATTGTACTCTTTGTTGGGAAGCTGTATTTTAAATTGCAGTATTTGCACATTGAAAGCACTTCTTATTCTGAGCTTTGTGTTTATAAAAATATGACCAAGCATCTGAATTCTTTCTAGCCATCTATGAGAAGAAACATGAGCAATTTAAAAACCTTAACATAGTATGCATGTTGTATATATTGATTTGATGACTGTAAATACATTAATTAAAACTAAATATCAACTAAAAACTGAATACATTGATTTAAAAATTATGAAATTGATTACTATAAATATTCTCTACTAAAAATAACATTTAAAATTTCTTATATAATTTATAAATTTTAGACTAGCTATTAATTTTAACACATAATTCTAGAATTTTGCAAATGGAGATTAGAAAATTAACATATATTTAAAAAGAAAACAACCACGAGGAAAAAATGTTTTTATAATAAAAATCGTATTTATTTTATCAGAAGACCATTTTTAAAATTGGGAAAATGTTAATATTATAAAAATTATGTTGATTTAAGCAAAAAACATATTATAAAAATTGGCGTACACTATTTCCCGGGAAATTTCTCCTGTCTTACATCCCTAGGTTTAAATGCATTAAAATAAAAATGTTTTTTTAATCTCTTTTTTTAGGTTAAAATACATGAAAATTAAAATATATTGCTTTTTGTTTTCTTTTAATTGTGAGTTTTTCATACTTTTGAATTCTTTAAGGTATTAATTAGAAACTAGATAATTAGAGATCGATCTAAATCCCGGGGTATAATTAGGGTTCCGAGAAGTTTTTAAAATATTCCTTAAAATTTTCTTGTTATTCCTAAACCTTAAACCAATTCTTAATAAATTATCATCTTAAAGGCTTATTTTTTAAACAAAAATATTTTCTACATCTATAAACTTATTCATGCTTTTCGTTCTTTCTCTATTTTCTCTAATTCAAACACCAACTTATGAAAACCAAACTAAATAATACATTCTGAAGATCCTTAACTTTTATTATTTTTATAAAGTGGGGGTCACGATATTCGATCTTTTAATGGCCGCATTTTTCCTCAAGACTATCGACAGATTCCTTAACTTCTTATTATGCATTCTTCCAGATGAGCACCTAGGCTTTGACCTTAAGCTCAGGGATACCAATAAACAATAAGATTGGAATTTTCTTTTGGTTGGTTTAGTAATTCTACTAACCTATAACCAGAAGGGTTAACTAACTTTAGGATATGCCATTGACCATGACTATGAAGAAAGGATTAAACTTCAGCCAAAATCTCAGTCTTTATCTATCTTCAAACAATTATGAATATCATTGGCCATTATGCCAATTCTCTAAAGGCCACTATCCTAGATATAGTATAGTTAACAATATAATATTCAAAGCTCTGATAAGTGCCAAAATACCCTGCACCCTTAAGCCCTTATGTCTCAATACCTCAGATGGTTAGAGGTTAGATAATTTAACTTTAATTCCATGGGAAAGATATAAATATTACCAGGGTTTACATTTGTGTAGCGAATTACCTATTACCCACAAAATTATCTTTCGGTGGCCGAAAAAAAACAAATATTCCGAGTAAAGAAATATTTAATTCGAAAACGCCCCGAGGCACTTTCCTTCCTAAAGAAAATACGAATATTGCCCATCTCACGAGCTATCCGAAAGTATTCTTTCAAACAAATTTCAAAAGACAAGCATTTATTAAATAATATAATTTTTTACATTTTTATTATTTTTTAAAATGCCATTTTAATTTTTTTTAAATGTTAATTTAATATAGATTTATACATATAATAATCTTATTTTAAATTTAAATAATGATAAATAATATAGGAAGAAAAAAAAAGCTGAATATCTATAAAATTATCTTAAAGATTTAAAATAATTATATTGATTATAATATTCAGATATCCTTATTTTTTACGAGAATTGGAATCTTAATCAGGCCGTTTTTAAAAATCTATCCCAAATCAAGATTTATAACGATACCACTTAGAATGTTTCTAAAATAAAATATTTTTAATGAAGGAGGTTTAAGAGAATAACATTTAGTAATTTTACTTTCTAAAAAGAGCATCATTGTGTAATCTTGAAAATACATAGAAAATTTGTTCATTGATATAAAAAAATATTAATTTAAAATTATAAATAGTATTTAGTTTTTTATCAGATCCTGTCAAACAATATACCAAGTGATATCAAAGTTTTTGAAGTTCAAGAGGGTATTCATATCAAAAGATTTACCTGTTGGTCTTGATAATATTAAAGCAATTTTCCTTCAAGACAGTATTAATTATAAATCCCCCAATAGCAATTTATTATTAAGCTGCATCGCGCAATTTTCAAATCTGTTGCTAAAAGGTACAATCCCTAAACCCATCATTCCTTTAATCTTGGGCTCGGTTAATTCCTATAAACAGGAAAGATTGTGGGGTTCGACTCATTGCTGCTGGATCAATTCGTTGTATTGTATCTAAAATCATAGTTGGACGTTTAAAATTAGCAATATCATCAGCTCTTTCCAATCGAATGGGGGGCATCAAAGAAGGAGCAGAGCGCGCTGGCGATTCGAATTTCACTAGCTAATGCAGATCCAAATTTAATTTCCCATAAAATTGATCTTAACAATGCCCCTTTAGCTCAATTTAAAAAATTTATTTTATTCCCATATTCTGCAATAACTGTCTACAATTTTATTTTTCGTAGCTACTCCGAGCCTACTTATTTAAAATAATATGACAAAATTATTCTTTCTTATGAAGGTATATAAAAATGGCCTATTGAGTCCACCGTTATTTTGCCTAGGTGATCAAACATTAATGGATTAAATCTTTTTAAAATATCAGCGCATACACCAAAAAGGAAATGACATTTAAATTTGTATCTCATTTCCGTAACCTAAGGTATATTTATTCACACCGCATGCATTTGGAAATGGCAAAGTCAGCCTTGCATAAAGATTACTAATTTACAGGATTGTAAATCAATTTATTATTTTTATGCAGTAAAAAATTTAGCGAAAAAAAAATTCATACGTGCATTATTAGTTTGTGGGATCTTTTTGCCTAATTTGATTTTTCCGGGTCAAAATCCAAAAAGTCATTCACATGAAATCAATAAAATTATTAGGACAAGTGCAGAGCTTAATCGGCGAAGCTATAGTTCAGTTTGGAATCATAATAAAAATGTTAGTCCTGTTTAATCAAAATCTATAATTTGATTTAATTTTAAAAATGAACTTTTTGTCAAATGATGTCATATTGCAATCACATAGTGTCCTTTTGCAATATCAAAGTGATTGAACTAAATTAAAATGTCACTATGTGTTTTTAAAAAAGGGTTATGGGTCTGAAAATGGAGACTAAGTGACTAAAAAAGTTATATATTTAATACAATTATTTCATATTATTTAAACCAAATTATATTGCTATTTTATTTAGATGAAGATGATATCTCAATTATAGAAATATTAACTGGCCTCAATATATCCGAACGCCAATATTTAATGTATAAATATCAAATAAAACAAAAACAGGTTCATTTTTTTATGGCAACTAGATAATATCTGGGTACACACGTGATTGTTAGAAATGCCAAATTTTTTAAGACTCAAATTTTAGTGGGGAATCGGCTCTTTGTTGGCAGAGCTTAGGGATTTAAATGACAATATAAAATTAATTTTTAAATATTATTCATATCCTATTTTATCTTTGTTTTGCCCATTTTTTTTCTCTTTCTTCATAATAAATTTAAATTATAAGAAAAATTTCAAAAAATGGTGTTTATTTTTAATTTATCAATATATATATTTCCCGTCGATATAATAGAATATCTAAAAAAGTGCAAAATTAATTATTTAATTGAAAAAGGTGCTGTAAAATAGAAAAACAATATTATATTTGTGGCTTTACTATAATATTATAACTAGTGAAGGTCAAGGGTTGAGTTTGGTCTGGTCATTGATCTCATTTAGTTTTTCCAACCCTGTTAGCATAAATCTTAAAAATATTTTATGTGTCTATCATTTTTAACAATTACTTTATTAAAGACTGCGTCTAAAACCAAAAAAAATATTAAAAAAGATTATTGGAAAATTTTATAAAAACTTGTCTAAAACTTAAATATTATCAATAAATATATAATATTCACATCTCCCGTATTCCTTCCTTCATTTGTACACGTTATAATGAAAAATTATCAAAGAACGAATTCGATAAATTTAAATATATAATTAAATAAATTTATTACTTGTATTATTTTTTATTAAATATTAATTAATATACATGTTACTTAATTAAATCTATATTTATTAAAATCTCAAAATATAAAAGAAATATCAAGTTAATAAAATTCGTGCTAGATGGAGCGTCATTTTATGAGTTGATTTTTCAGAATTGATGAATCTATTTATTAAGAATGTTTATCAACGGTGAAAAACTGATATAGTTAGCTCGGTTTATATTAATTGAGATACTTTGTCAAAGTTAAAAATGTTTGTTTGGATTTTAGATCTTAGAAATATAATGCAATGCCCTATATAAGTAGAACCGTAGATAAGGCTAGGGCGTGAGTGCTGATGGGATTGGTTTTGTTCTGCTTCTACGAGAGCATTATGGATTAGGTTGAAAGGTGCTAGCAAATTAATAAATGAAAAAATAAAAATTAAATTATATATTGTAATTAAATAAAGAAAGAATTAATAAATGTTAAATTGAAAATTAAATTATGCATTCATATGAAATTCATTATTGACTGTAAGTTTTAGATTATTTTAATAACCAGAAAATTCACCAAAAATATATACATCATTGGTAAGTATTATAATACATTTAAGATATGCCTAGACTATAATATAAAAAAGATATATTTAATATATTAAGCTAACTGATTCTCTTTATTCTTTAAAATATTAATAGGATATTTCTCAGATTTAATTAGTTTAAATTTAATGCTAAAATATAAGATTTTAAAATTGATAATACCTTTGTAACTAAATTATCTGCTATTTTTAGTAATTGAATAAATATTGTATTTAAATAATTGACGTAATTAGTTACAAAAAATTTCTAAAGTTAAAATGATTAATTTGTTGCCACGAGATATAAAAAATGGCTTCCCTTTATATCAAATCAAATAAAGAATAGTTTGAATAATAGCATAATTCTATTAAAATTATACTGATTATTTCTTTAAAAAAAGGAAAAAAAATATGATTAAGTGAATAAACAATATTTGAGGCTGCATTCAAAGTGGAGACGGATCCGTTTTTTACATCCGTTCCATTAAAAATAAAAATCAATATAATATCATTTTTAATGAGATTGACTTTTGACGAAACGGATGTAAAAAACGGATCCGTCTCCACTTTGAATGCAGCCTGACTGACCAAATATGGTAATATTCAACTAAATGTTTCTATAAAATATTCATAAATAATGTATAAAAAATAAAAAACATTGTAAATAAAAATTGAACACAAAATTTTATCATGAAGGTTAAGATAGGCTCTCTTAACATAATAAATAAAAGGAGAAAGGGAAAGGGAAAGGGAAAGGAATAAAAACAAACTAAAAAATATTATATTTAAAAATAGCTAAAATTCTCAAAATATATATTAATAGGTAAAAACCACTTAAAATAACATTATTTTCACTCTACTAATATCATATTCTTATAAATCAATTCAAATCCTTTCAATCAAATAAATTTGAGATCCAAAATTACACAATCACCTAAATTGATCACAAACTTGAATGTTAAATAAGGACCTTTGCCCTCCTTGAGACACATTATACTACTATTGCATCTAGGTGTTCATGCATACACACTATGGTTCAACTCTCCATCAGTATTCCTCCCTCACCATCACAAATCCCACAAATGTTGTTATCAATTACCCCATTATGACCATTTTTCTTTGCAATTAAAGTTTTTATATCATGATCTCATAGTTTAAAAATAGAAAATCAAAATTTTAGAATTATTCCATATAGAAAGTTTTAAATTTATTAGTAAATGGAATATATAATTGATGGTAACTTTCAACATAAATTTATATGAATTTTAATTTACACAACAATACATAAATTTAGCCATAAAGACAATTGTGAATTTTAACAATAATGATATTCTCCTTCACCATCAATCTAGTAAAATTTCTAATGAGCCTACTAGACCTCAGCACAGAACCTATCAAATATAACTGCCCATTGTGTAATAAACCAAATTTAGGTTATGGCCATCTCATCGAAAAAAATAAAGTGTCCTCAATCTGTTACCCATCTTATCACCAGCTATTCTTAGAACCCTTAATGCCTTTCTGCCCTTGCCCTCACAACAACACCCATAGTCACTATTCCCACATCATTGGCTGACGTGCTTACTTTTCTAATTAAGATTACAATTAAACTATATATGACTTTATTAACTCGTTATATATAAAATATCAATCATCATAATTTATTGCATGGCATTTATAACATTAATAGTATATTATATCGCATTTATAACACTTACTAGCCCAATAATCCCTACCTCCACTGTCGCAAATGTTTCCACGTTTAATCCAACCGACTCCACAGTTGTAGAAATATTTTTAAAGAAACCAAAACCAATTGTAATTTTAAGAATACCTATGGGAGCAAGGCTTCAAGTTGCGAGACAACTCTCGAAAAACTTGACTTCCTTAATTAATATTCATTCTTCTGTAAAAAAAACCCTGTCAATTGCTTTTATTACCCTACAAGTTCCTGATCCTGTCAGCAAAAAATCTTTGACATAGCAAATTAAGGATACAACTATCTACCCCTTACCCATCAATTACATTTCTACTAAGGGTGATGACACAAATAAATGACCTGCTTATAGGCCAGGCTAATAAATAAAAACTGGATAACCTGAATGTTAAATCTGGCATTTATCTGGCAACCTCTAACAATAAGCTGGCTCCCTACGATAGCAACTTATCCCAAAAAGACCACTCATACGATCTTAAGGACGAAATACCGTTTTCCCCTTAAGCTCCTTTAATTGCGGCCACTTACCCCACACGCGGCGTTAGACCACTCTCTCCTTCAAACGCGATTCCTCACCTGGTTTGATGGGTTTCGCCCAATATTTATACAGGATCTAACTGCACCTTACATCACACAACAATGCGATGTGGAAAAAATTACCCAACTTATCACCCGTATACTTACTGGAGGCATAATAACCGCCATTATTCCACTCCTATATGGAGACAAATTCATCGCTCTCCATAAGCCAAGCCTAATAAAGATATTCGCCCTATCTCTATTGGAACCACAAGCTAGTAGTAAGCAGAATATTGTTCACAATATCCAATCTCCCTTCACATGATCCAGATGTATTTACAAGCAGACCCCAGCCACGATATCCTAGTTAAAATAGACTTTTCGAACGCCTTTAACTCTCTAAGGCTTAGAGCGTTTCTAAATATTATCCTCACCCTCTACCCAGAATACTCTCATTATCTTCGATTGCTATGCTAATCCCTCACATCTTCAATTTGAAGATAGATTGATTCCTTCTAGCGATGGAATAGAACAAGGTAAACCTCTAGGTTCCTTTTTGTTCTGTCTGGACATTAATAGCCCAATGACCAATGCAAAATTGGTATATCGACGATGGTATACTAGGCGGCCCACCGGATGAAGTTATGAAGGCAATCAAAATAATAAAATCGAATGAGAGCAGTTTGGGACTGCCAATTAATCAAGACAAGAGCTAATCTCTTGGGATCATTGACCTTAACCACGATCCTATGTTCAATCGTACACCATTGAACGCTTTAGCACATCTCAGATGAGTCCTTTATAAAGTTCTTCGCCGATATTTTACAAGAGATATCCCTCATGTGCGATACACTATCCCGCCTCCACTTCCTATTGGAGTCTTCTAATCCCAAATATTTAATATATACTCCGATCATCGCGAATCTTTCAATACGATGTCAACCTGGCTGGCATGAGCTCTAGATTTAACTCCTCACAGAAGATATACTCTATCTTAAATTTGGAGATCTATCTTGGTTACAAGCTACCTTTTCAATCAAATCCGGTGACATTGGCATAAGGTCGCCTTCCCTACTTTCTGTTAGTGCGTTCATATTCTCTCGCCTGTCTTGCGAGACCCATTGCTTCTGCAACAATTCATCTATGAAAGTATCTGTCATTAGTCGATCCTTTCTCATCGGCACTACAGAAGAACTGGGACAAGTCTCTAATTGACAACACCGTTGTATACCTTAAATTGAGGAGCCAACCCGAAGACCATTCTCTACTTTTTCCATTTCCGCAGACAGTGGATAAGAATTTCCAGGCTTTCCATCGCGAAATCTTGAGCAGCTTCTAAGCAATGATGAGCTACGTCATGCCATCGGTCTTAAACTTAATTGCGATATGGTAATACCCTATCACTGTGTCCTTTGTCAAACAGGCCGTCACTCTTAGAGGGTGATTTATTAGGCATTCAATATGCAATGATACTATTGTCAGGGCCCTAAAATCTGCCGGCATCCCATCAACCCTCGAACCTATTGGCCTTTACAATTCCGATGGTAAGCGGCCTGATTGTTCTACCATGATCTCTTGGAAGAGGGGGGTGAGATTTCTCATAAATCGATCCTCTTGCCTTTTCCAATATAAACAGATATGCTCTACTAGACGCCGAAATGAATAAACCGATAAATACTCGCCATCGCTTCCTGACAACTATACATTCCTACCACTGATCGCCACGACTCTAACATGGTTCGGCTCTCATGCTCTGGCCTTCCTTAACTGGGAAACCGAATCTTTTCTACGAGGATCCCAACGAGGGTTTCTACTTGCGTCAAAGGTTAGCCCTAAACATAATAGAATGCAAATATCTCAGCTTTATACTCCTAATGACCGAAACCCCCTAATTGAACATCCTATGTACTTAGGCTATTTTGCTTCCAATTAAAACGTTGAAGCTAAAAGGGAATATGGATCTCAATTAATAAAAAACATATAATTGTGATTTACTAATATTATATATTTTTTTTCCAATAATTGTGAAAATTATAACTTATTTTATAATTTTATAATCATTTTTGACTTTATGCTAATCTTTTCTATTAATATTTAATATAATATATTTTCTTGTTAAATTATATTTATAAAAATTTTATATGTGATCTGATATAAAAAGTTATACTTATAAATATCATATTCTATCAAGTTAAGTAGGGGAGACCGGGGTAAAACGATAGTCATTTTGCATATTTATCATAAAAATTTTAAACAAAAGTCAAACACAACAAATTATAGTTCAATGTATAGCCCCATATCTACTAGATAAAAAAAGTGTAGCCCTCTACCTATAATATTTTAGGAGTTATGATTAGTTATGTCAAACTACTCATTTTCGCCATTTTACCCTGGGTATGGATAAGCATTGAGGTAAAGTGGTTAAAATAATATTTGACATATATTTATCGTTTTATTTAACAAATATTACAAATTTAAGATATATTTATGATTTTTATTTACAAACTAATCAATACAATATGGACATGTAAAGTAGTTATCATAGCACATTTAGAATGCACCCATTCAAGGCACATTGTGCATTTTAACCATTCATCTATTTTTATAGATTTTATTGCAAATAACACATAAACAATTCTTTTTTGATATCTTTTTTCTTCTCTGAATAAATAATTTCAATATTAATTTGGTAGCTTTATTAGTAATGCTCAATTGAAATATATAATATATTTATTAATTAATACTCAATTCAAATACGATCATAATAATTTAATTATGTCTAGGCGTTAATCCCATAAATGACCAATCTAGATTCTTCTTCATTTGTAAATATTTGTTTATGATCTGAACTTTAAATACCATTTTTATATCTTCTTCTCAATGTTGTATCAGGTATTTTATATTTTAGCAGACAAATTCAATGAAGTGTAATTGTTATTTTATATTTTATGGCTTCATCTATTATACTTACATCTCTGAATATTGTTTTTCTTTTATAATTTCTCATTATTTGATTGATACAATAAAAATTATAATAAATAAATGTAAGAAAAATTTAATGTGAATAATTATATATTTTAACCGTTTTACCCACAACAGCTCTACCCCAAGGTGACATATATTATAAATATCGTTATTGCGTGACTTCTAATATAGCTATAGATGTCAGATAAATTTTATTTTATAGCTAATACATTAATGAACATGTGTGCCAAATTTTGAATCCTGAGGATGTATATTTTACTAAAAGCAAATTATACTAGAGAATGATTTTTATATTTTTTGTGTAAAAAACAATTTTTTGACAAAATATATAAAACCAGGTAAGTTTTTTAAAAGATGAACATAGGTAAGAAATTAGATATAAAAATACATCTTCACACCAAATTTAAAATCATTGTGCTCAAGGGGTTAAAAAGTTATTCGCGTTAACATTGTTACCCCGTCAATCGCTTTACCCCGGTCTCCTCTAAATATATATTATATTCCACATTTCGCCAATATAAAATTTAGAATATTTGTAATAACCAGGGGCCCGGAACATGGACATTTTTGCATTACTATTTTGTTCCGGTTTAAAATAATTATTCGTTCCGTTCCAGATTTTGGAACGTTCCTTTCCATGTCCCTGATTATAACAGCTATGAAATATTTTCCTTTGATAATTTTTGTTTTATCTAATATATATTCAAATATACTCAGATTTTTATTTATTGGAAATATTAGAAAATAGAAATTGAATGAAGTATGGAAGAAATTTTTACTTATATTAAATCCATAGGATATGATATTCCAAATTATTTTAGTCAGACTCAAGTCGGGAAGAATTTACAGAGGTCCAAAACCAAAATAACATGGCAGATCACATGTACTTAAACTGGACCATTTAAGAGTCGATTCCTGTGGCTATTAAGAATGTCGATAGCTAGTGGCCAGAAATAATTCCGATTAACAGTGGCATAGGAAGTGAGATTCTATTTAGATTTGGAAAAATAAAAGTAATTGTTTCCGATGACAAGCCACAATTTAATAGCTTGAAATTCAATATTTTTCCTCCAAAAAATGAGATTAAACTAGTAAAAGGCAGTCTTTTATCAATAATAAACGAATGGAATGGGGAAGAAATTGGTAAGATTATTTAAAAACAATATATATTAAATATAAGTAGAAGATTTATTAAGTAGTTTGTGTATTTTTTTTATATATTCAGAAATACTGGGGAGAGGGCAGATAATGATCAGAATCCTACTGAAATACTCCTAAAAATTAAACCCATAGGTTCATTATATCAAATGTTTTAGAAAATGCAAGAAAAAATTGAGTATTGTAAAAAATATTATGTTAGAGCAAAAATATGGTCAAGGACTTATAATTCCAAAGAAATTAAATGGGAAAAAGAGTGGATTTATACTAGAATCTTTGCGTGAGTAGAAACAAGAAGAAAAACAGTGGTTTGTGATGGAATTTTTTTCCGAATTTTTTTTGGTGATTTTATTTCTATGGATATTTATTATTGAGATACTTTATCAGTGGGGATTTATATTATTTTTTGTGTATTTATAAAATTGTTTAAAATTATAATCGATAAGACAATATGAGTATGGCTAACTACCTTTTAAATTTTCATTGTTATACTGTGTTTATTGATGAGTTTTGTAAAAAAATCTCTTACATACATTATTAATATATGCAGCAAATTTTAGATAAAAATGTTATTAATATGTCAACACAAGTAATAAAATAATTAAAAACTAAAAATAAATATGAATGATTTCTACTTTTTTTTACTCCTTTATCTTGTAGTTGTACGTTTCGAATAATCATAAAAATATATTAATTTGACAAATAATAAGACTTGACAAATATAAATTTATTAATAATCTTCTAAAATGATAAAAATATATTAAGACAAATATTAATGACTTTACATTAAATAAAATAATAAATAAAAGAATGACTACGCACAATAAAATAAAAAAACATATTTGTTACCTAAGAAAATTAATGATCTCAAAAAATAAGGAATTTATATCAAGTTTCATATAAAATACCAATATCATACCCTATTTTAATTATAACTTAATCCTAATGAACCTATAGGAATTATTTATTCTCTCGCACTTTTTATATTTACATCGATAGTAAGACAATCATTCAAAAACAATTTAATTTTCATGTTAAAATTTAAAAAAATATTGGAAATGAATTAATTAAATAGCAAACACGTGTGTACGCATTTTATCTTGTTATCTTTTTTAATATATCGAATTAATCCAAAATTTTTTATTAGAATTTAAGAGATGTGATTAACTCTTCAAAAAGCCCTCTAAAGGATGTATATATTCAATTATTATTAACACAGTCACAATTGGATTCTTACATTTTACATCAAAAATTAACACATGATAGTAATGTTGAAATAATTTGTGAAATCCTCTATATGAAAACTGCAAGGGTATACGTAAACATACTATATAGAATAAAATGTAGAGTCTTTGAATTACATGCCTTATTCCCCTTCATTTATTATGGTCTTTATATTATTAGACCATATTTAAGCATCTAAGATTATTTAAAAATCTAGAAATTTCCTAGAGTATGATAGACTTTTTAATATGCCCACCCACATTTAAAAATATAACTAGATCAAATAACTAGCTAATTTTTATTTTCCTATAATTTCTTTGTTAAACTAAATTTTCTAATAGCATATCTACTAATCAAAAAACTCAGTTAGAAACTTTATAAACTAAATATATTAAATCTTGTGTAAGGATTTTAAAATAAAATTTAAGTATAATTAACAATTTTTAAATGTCTTGAAGAGGATTAAAATATGTATGAACAATTATGCAAAATGCCAACAAAATAGCACCATAAAATTTCTTGGAAAATTAGAAGAACAGTTCTGTCAACATATTTCATTTAAAAATAAATGATATTCAAAAATTAAAATGGTTATAATAGCATTCTGTGAATATTTTATGCGAAAAATAATATATTATCAATATAAATAACAATGATTGAGCTCAAAATAAAATCAACCATAGTCTAAAAAATTTAATTGGGAAAGTTTCATAATTCATGCTTAAATATATTTCAAGAAGTTAGTGCTAATTAGAGGTCCGCATGACTGCATTGGTTGAGTAAATGATTTTCTAGCAGGAAGTGGGAGGATAATATGCCATGAAGTATTTTATGGTCATAAGTTTGGGAAATTATATTATGATAATTCAAATCAGATTCTAAAAAAGAATATTTAACAAAATACATATTAATAAAATGAGAATATCTATATATAAAATACTTGTTATAATTCGATAATTGTCTATTAAATTAGAATAGTTAAGTATGGATTAACATTTTATTTAGTTTATTTTTAAGATATAACATAAGTAGATATATAGTTAATGATATAATAAATTTATATGAAATTTTTATACATGTTAGCGTGTTATTTTAGAGAATGTGTACTTGTGCACTTTACCTGATTTTTTCGGCAAAGTATTATAGTGATAGGTAGGGTGTTGGTTATTTCGGCATTGTGTTATTTTTATAATATTATATTATTAATAATTTTTTTAAATCTATAATATATATAAAAGCCTTGTCATAAAAATAGCGTTACGCTCTCATGTCCCACTTTTCATGTCCCACTTTTCATGTCCCACTTTATAATATATATTCAAAAAATCGTTAATTTTGAAAAGTGCATATGGCCCAATCGGGCAAGAACTACGCTTACAAATCTAGATTGATTGTTGGACTTGGGTTCGAATCCCGGCAAAAGTTTCCTTTTCTTAATCTGGTAATATATTTTTTTTCCTAAATCTGACAAAATTATTCAAATAGATACGATTGAAAGTTTGTGGCTACTTTAAAATTCAAACTATTTTCCTGCACAAGATAATTAAATACATTGAATACACACCTAATATTATACCTATTCCTGAATATTTAGGGATCATTAGAACATTATATGCATCAATTACCAATTCAAGTACGAGATTTATTTAAATCAGGGATCCAAACCGAACCTGAACCGAACCGTTAAAATGCCTCTGAACGGGTTCGAGTCTCATAATTTTATGCTTAAAAAATAATGTGTAAGTTATTACTAGTAGTATATTGCAAATATTTTAATTATATTCAAATTGTTTTAAAAATTATTATCAATCACATTTGATTGATAAAAGTCAGTCATAATTTTTATAAACTTTAGTGTATTGCCATTTTGCAATATTTTTTAAATATTTTAAGCTTATAAATTATAATGAAAAAAATTAAATCTAATATATAAATTATTTACATATAGTATTATAAATGACACATCAAATCTGATATCATACTGGCAATGCCAGCTACCCAAGTTAGTGTGGAAGGATGTTTTTCAACAATTAAATTTATTATCTCCTTATAGATGTAATTTGAGTGAGACGAATTTTGAAAATATATTAATTGTGCAGCTTAATAAAAAAAACTTAAGTAATTGTTCATATTTAAATTCATCATTGATATATTTATTTGTTATATTTATAAATTAAATATTATTTTATAATGTGCAATTAATAAAAATGATGGTTTTTATTTTAATTATGAAATAAAAAAAATTTTTCCTGATACATAATCCTAATTTAGGTTAGAATACAAATGTGTTCAAACCGGTTTTTAGAGGTTCGAACCGAACCAATATTTTTATTTTTTACGAACCGAACCTGTACCTTAAACCATTATTTTTATCCGAACCCCCACCGAACGGATATTCATTTCGGGGATCCCTGATTTAAATACTTTTTTAATTCTTGAAATTATGTATAATTTAAAATTTAAACCATTATATGGGGAATCAGAATTTTCTCTTAATTTTCCTATCTTATGAGGTGTTATTTAAAAATTTATATTTATTTAGGGTTATTCTAAAATTTTCCATTATTTTTATAAAATATGTTAATAAAGTATATATTTAGTAATTTTAATTTATGTGTACAATTAAAAAGTCTTTTAAATTAAATTTTTATTCATTTGTATTTTATAATCTAAAAATTTATTCTTACTAGATAAGAGTTTTATGTTAAAACCCTTAAGAAGGATTCACCCATTGAATTTTATACAACTTTATATCTCTTAACTAGGTAATTTTTATGCATAAGTAAATATTTGCATCTCTCTTATCTTTTCTGAAATTGGCCTTTCTACATGCATTCCATAGTTTTGTATATTTTCTCATAACTTCATAATTTAATTGTAGAATGAATAACTTTTTTGTTTAACTTATATATAATTTGACTTGTTAATTTAGAATATCTTTTTATTTTTTCTATTGTAATTTAATAACAATGTCTTAAATTTAAATTTATATTTTGTAACTAATTAATAAATCATTTGGAAGAGTAATGGTTTGTTTAAAATTTAAATTAGGATGAACATATTTTTAGCATGGTACTTTAATATGTATTCATGATTTTCATATAAATACCAGGAGCTAACCAGTAGAATGATAGGAAAATCAGATATTTCCCCTTCATTTTATCCTAATTTTGAAAAATTTTCCGAATAATATAAATGGCAAAAAAAATATATACATATTAAACAGATTAAATTCTTATAAACCCCTATATCACACCTATTTTTCTGGATCCAAGGAAAAAATAATTTATTCTGGGTTTTCCTAGTTTGGGAAATATTTTTCACAATTAATATGAACTTGAAAGTAGCTTAGGAAACATTTTTTAAAATTAATATAGTCTTAGTTTCCTGAAAATTTTTTAATTTTAAATATGGGTTAGAAATTGCCTTAAAATTTTCTTTTGGAGACATGGCCATGCCTGATTAAAAACCCAGGCCCATGCAACTGTCATATTCTGATTGTATTTTTAAATGCATTGTGTGTAACTTTTTATATATTTTATTTCAGTTCTCAACTATCAAAATTATTATGGTCTTTTTGAGAAAATTTTTCTAAGTGCGTGGACCTGGCCTGTGAATTTTTTTAATATTAGGCATAGGTGTAATATTTAACACAGAATATTTATATGGCCCTCAGGTAAAAGCTAATTTAAATATATTTTTATTCAAAAATAGTATTCATTCTCAGTCTTATTGGGTTGGCCTTTGTCTGAAATAGGGGTGAGCTGGGTTAAAATAGAATAAAAAATAGATATGGTTTTAGAGATTTACCTATCTCCTGGGTTGGGAAAAAATTTTGAAAATTACTATGGGTTGGCCAGGCTTGGGAAAATTTTTTTTATAAAATTTTTCTAGGTTGGGCTGGGTTTCAAAAATATTTTTATAAATTATATTAGGCTGGGCTTGGAGAAAATTTTTCAAAAATATTATGAGCTAGAATGGTTAATCTGATTTTGATTGTATTTTTAACATTATGATTATTTAAATATTTTATTTAAGTTCTCAACTACCAAAATTATTATATTCATTGGGCTTGGAAGAATTTTTCAAAATTATTATGGCTTTGTACTTTGCCTGGGAATTTTTTTAATATTAGATATTAGGTATAAATGATCAGTAATATTTAACAAATAATATTGCTATTATCAAGTAAAAGCTTTAAATTTAATTTTACCAAACCATAGTATTTACACTTAATTTTAATGGATTAAACCTAGCCTGAAGGGGGGGGGGGATTAAAAGAATAATAATTGGATATTATTTTCAAATAAGAGGTAACAACTATCATAAAAGTAAGAAGAAGATTCTCATTCCCCGTCATTTTTGACGGGCTATCTTCTAGTTATTAAAAATTTTCTAAGAATAATATTTTACTTTATTAATTTATACAGGGTAAGTTATTATGATAAAAACAAAAAATTAAAAGAAGAAACAATATGTATCTTTATTTTTTCATAATACTTAAAAAATAAATGCCGATCCATTAATATATAACAAAACAAACACTATAAAAATACATATGATATAAATTTAATGTAATTTTTTTGCATTTAAAATTTTTATATTATTTAAATTTTTTTTTATAAAATATTAATATTTTTTTTAATGTTTAATGTAAACGAAAAATTTTATCTAGTAACACAAATGATAAAAATTGATTTACATAAAATTCTGATCATGTTTTATCTAATTCAATACCTAATATATCTGCTACAAATAATTTCCATATTATCAATTCTCCTTCTTTATGTGGTGATTCTATATCCAATTCAAAAAATTTAATCTCGTTATTTCCAAGAAGGAAATATAAAACTGGAATAATGAACAAATAGATATAGCAAAATAATTATTATATGTACGAGAGAGAGCGAATGAAAATGAAAGATATCGTGAAGTATTTAGATATGTCTTTATCGTCTATTAATAAATTAAGACGTAAAACATTTCCCGAAATCATTGGGAACCCTTTGAAAGATTATGTAATTGGATAGAGAGGCAGAAAAAAAAGACAATAATTTTTAACAATATATTTAAAGATATTATAGAAAA